GCAGGAAAAGTTCAAATGTCATCTTGTTTCTCCCCTCAATATTATTTAGAGATTTAAGAATGATGGCTTGTTCAACATACACAAGGCTTTCCCACTTAATAGGGAGGTATTTATCATGTTTCTTTACTTCAAGAGCTGTGGACTATAGAATTGTACCTGTACTATTATTATGGAAAGTTCTAATGTAACTTTCCTTCCTGATTTAATATACTCTGGGACAACAAGCTGTTACTCTCAGTAATTTCTTTGAGACTTGGTTACATCAGAATTAAATAATACCAATAGGAAGTCATCAGCAAGTAGAAACACAAACTGCTAATTCAAAAACAGGTTGGGGTTTGGGGGTTTTTTGCTAGAAGTGCTGAATAGGCAGCAGTCTTTGACAATTAAGTGGCACTCAAATTCTCACTATAGTAAAGCTCCACTAATGTTCTACAAGAGATAATATTAGGGCTGAGTTAAAGTAGAAACTGTTCTGTCATTAAAAAACTTAAAATTTCGTAAGGCCTTCAACATTCTGGAGCACAAAGGTCCCACATAGATTTGATGGAAGACTTCTGTCTTCATGACTTCCACAAATTGGAGAGGTTTGCCTACTTTGCGATTTTCAGTCAAGATCTGGAGCAGCCGGTTTCAGAGTCGAGAATAACTTGTTCTGCTTCCCTTTACTAAGCCCCTGATTTCTTGGTTCTGCTACTTCTGGTGACTGTTTTGATGCTTTTGACTCTTGGCTGTTGGGAAATATCTAGTTACAACAGTAAGAGCCACCCACCCCCAAATCTTGTAGGATTGTCATAGTAACACATTCTGGAAGGCTGCAGCTTAGAAGTCCAAGTGATGCGGAAATAATCTTGAATGTCACACTGCCAAGCCCTCCTCCTAAAAAGAAGTACAGGTCTGGTATGTGACCCAGGAGTCAAAGCTGAAACAAAAGGACTATTAGCCAGAATTTCTGGGCGTGACAGTTGCCATAAAATATCTCATTTACTGTTTATGACCTGTAAACCAGAAGGGAAAGGTGGCCTAGTTAAACTCTGTCAAGTGTCTTAATATCCTTAAGTAGAAGGTACCATGCACATTTAAGATATTAAACTAGAACTGGTTCACCTTCATTCCTAAAGGCCTACAATGGAATATATGTTTCAAAATCCTGTGAAAGATGATGGTATCTTTGAGTACAGCTCTATAGCTCAATCTGGTCATCTATGTACAAAATATAAGTTTATCAGTCAAGAACAGTTTAAGTGTGTGAAGCTATTTACAAATTTTACACTTAGATTTAATGTAAAATCTTACCCGGCTGCTCCTTGGTCAGGTACTTTCAGAAAATCCAAGCTTTCTGGTTGCTGTGAAATCTTGCCTGATCCTCCTGACAATTGCCGTGGTAAAGTTGGTCGTGTCATATTTGTATACAGGTTTTTCTGATTTGCTTGTTGATTTCCTGGGACATGGGGAAGCGGTACGAACTGTGGGGGATTTATTACTCCATTTTGCTGCTGACCTGGAAGTAAATAAAGTGTGAACACAGCCAGTCCAAACTACAGCTCAGTAAAGGCAGCCCTTTCCTTTTGTTGATGGTTCAGCTGTCAGTTAGATTCAGCTGTCAGTGAGACTCAGATATCAAGGAACTTGAAAACAAAATCATGTTGAAATCTTAAAGTTTGGTTTATAGACAGTTTCAGGTCTGCTGGTGATCTGTTTTAGGTTCACGTTTTCATGGACTTTTGCTCAAGTTTGAGATGTGCCTTGAACGTTACAAGCAAGCAAGAGGATTAGCTCTCAGCTGTATGCAACCTTTTAACATTAGCTAGCACGTAGCACCGCACCCCTATTTAAAACACTGCATAAAATTTTATCCAGGTAAGGGTTGATCTAAAGCTAGCTAGAAGTCCTGGGGGTCTCTCTCTCTCTCTTTTAAAGTTCAACCTCTGTCCAACTCCCTTAATACTGGGTAGGCTATTTTTAAAGTTGTTATAAATATTTGTCTATTTTTAAAAGTAAGGCTTTTTTGTGTGTGTGTGTTTGGTTTGTTGGTGTTGTGTTTGTTCGTGGGTTTTTTTCTTAAAAAAACCACCTTGCTGCTACTTTTGATAGCGCAAAAGGAACCTGAATTTTCTAGGTGATGAGAAGGGTAAATGCCTTTAAATAATTATGCCTCTAACTAGAATTTCAAACAAACCCACCCATGTCTGAGCTACTTGCAGGATCAGGCAGGGCCTAAGGAGCTCAATTCTGCATGCTTTGCATTCCTAAAACCCCCACTGAATAAAATGGGAGCTATGCTTATATTAAAACTCAGATTGGTTAATGCTGTGGGTGATCCTCTCCTTGTGGTTAAGTCTGTTGAAAATTAGCAGAATGAATAGCTGTGCAGAGAGAAGAATTCATAATCGTGACACTCAAAAAAACCCAACCTTACTGCATTCAACAGCTGGTCTTTGCTTCTGATAGTCTCTTGATACTGTGGCAGAGCTTAAGTAGTCATAAACTCTTATATAAAACTTACTTTGGGATGCAAGCTAGTATGGCACGTTACGGTTATATAAATAAAGGTTTGGTTTATTCTGAACATACACGTAACAGTCTGTTCAGCTACTGGACCATTAATTTCGAAACAGATGTGAAAATAGCAGTATACATTTCAAATGATCAAGGATGATGGCCCGCAGTGGTTACTTCCTCACATTGTGAGAGCAGGATGGAGAGAATAGTTTGTGACTTTCAAGGAGTTATGTGCCCAAATCATGCAATTGCCTCAGACTCCTTGAAAGTCTGGACAATCTAATTGGAACTCTTTTGTAACAGGTGTCATCATTCTTATTTTTCCAGCTGAATTAAAAAAAAAAAGTTATAGTAATTGATTTGAGGTCTGTGTGAAAGAATTCTGGTCACCTTTTAAACGTGATACCCTAATGCCTATGGCTCAACACAGCATTTAACTTCAGTAGTTAACACTTACCCTGCCTGGGCACTAGTGTAGTTTCATTGGTCCATGAACATCTAGTTCAACTCCACAGCTGAACACTTGGGAAATGGTGGGTCAATAGAATATTGTTCTCTCCTCAGAGTTTACAGGCTAAATTATTTTTTCCTCTCTAGGGCAGAGGTGAAACACCCTGATGACATCAATTCCATGCAGAAAGTTAGCCCAGTGGCTTGCTGCACGCAGAGGTAGGCTCTTATCATTAGGATTCTCTGCTGACATGTCTGTCCAGGAGCTGTCATTAAGCACTGGGGATAGGTGATTACAAAAGGCCATACTGCAGGTATGGCCATCTACTGGTGCCTTGGACTTGTGTGCAAATCTACATCCAAACTACCTTACCTGCATGAGGCAAGTTTGGGCTTGGTCTGTGGGCACAAGGCTTCTTCAACCAATATTTTTGTCTTTTTCATGTAACTATAAAACTGCTGAAAGAGTTTTTGAAAATGTTAAAACAGACTTTCCTTGTTTTAACTCATCCTGTATGAAGATTTACTATCTGTGTTTGCAGACAGGTTAGCTCCTTTACTGTAATTTCCCGCTTTACTCCAAGCAGTTCTTGCAGATCATGCAGTCCTTAGTTTCACTTATACAGCTACAAGGCTTTACTAGGACTGGGAATTGTCTAGTTAAAGATTGGCTGAACACCCAACTTAACACCATTAGCACTGCGCTTCTCAATAAACAGCAACTGACTGAAAGAGGACCCTTTTGTAAAAAAAAAATAAAAAAAATACTCTGGGAGTGTAAGTAAAAAAAACCCACAAACCACTTGGGAAACGTTCAGTCAATGGAATATTGTTCTCCCCTCTGAGTTCACAGGCTAAATTAATCATATCTCAAGGGCAGAAGTGAAACACCCTAATGATATCAATCCCATGCAGAAAAAGGCATGCTACTTACTGGCCCAGCTGATATGTTTCAGCATTCAGCATACACAAAAGTTATTATGTAACAGGGGTAGGACAATGAGACATAAAATATAATCTATTGTTTATTGGCACTGAAAGCAGTTTCATTCCAAAGCATCATTTATGGCTTATAGCTTTTACCCTAGAAAGGAAAGTGGAGAAAGCTATGGGGTTAGTTTTAGATTCAGTGTCTTCTACTAAGTGGCTGAACATGCCAAGTGTCCATGACAACCAGGATATCTCTGGTGGAATACTAGTTTGATTGTCTGTAGACTCCCAACAATACACTTCATAAAATGCCTGCAATGTATGTTTTCCAGACAGGATCTTTTAAGAGGATTTTAAACCTTTACTATGATTTTTTTTTTTTAGTGGGTAAAAATTACCACATGACAAGAGTAAAGCAAAAGTCTGATTTTTTTTTTTGAATTTTGCCCGAGGCTAAGAGGACTTACCAGGAGGCGGCGGAGCAGCTCTCATAGGATAAGTCTGACTTTGAGACCTGTTGGAATACCCTCTGCTTTGGGTAAGGTTCCGTCTAGTAGGACCTAAAAGAAAACAGCAACGTTTTGTTACCCTTTTACAATTACATTAATTAGGTAAGTAAGTCCTTTTGTCTGCCCCTACTCTGTGATCAGAAAGAGCTGATCTTCAGGAATAATGACTGATTCCTACAGTGTTGGCCAGGTTGTGCTAAAGCTTTAGATGCAACAAGGCTGACAGGCATATTCTCCCTTTTGTGATCCAGTTCAGCCACAGGATATAAAGTAAAACTGTCTCAAGACTATGGTAAATGAGGCCCAAAAGACCATTGGCTTTATGAACTTGTTCATAAACCATGGATAGCTAGCACAGCAGTACTTTTGACTATACTGTTTCTGATCAGCAATTAGTATGAGAAAAAGGTAGGACACGAAACCCGAGAGGCTGGTTTATTTGCAGCTCAATTGCTGGTGATGTATAGAGGTTACCTTTCCTCATATCACAACCTATCCTGTCCTGATGCAGAGCTTTCTTCCTCAGCAAGACTGAAGGAACTGCAGGAGCTCAGAGCAGAGTGAAGGACTCTTCCCCAAAGATGCCTGGCTAATCGTGCCATTTGTACTATGTTACATGATTAAATACCCTCATTTCTTTTGTTGCAGGGCAAAGAATTTCAGACACTTCAGAAACAGTTAGTATATAGTGAAAGTTAACAGAATTCCAGCACGACTGTAGAGCAGCAAGGACTTCAGCTATATCATTAGGATCTATAACTTGGAACTTCTTTTAAGTGTTACAGAAAAATAATAAAGAACATGCTGAAGCTAGAGGCAAGCAAGGAGAGAAAGAGTCAACCATTCTCTACATTTCTAAACCATTCACTAGTTTCTAAAGGAAATTCATACTTACGGGAATTCTTTGGTAGCCCTGGTCCGATGCTGATCTGCAGCACCTTATTACTTGGCTTGAGAATGGCTATATCTCCTTGGCCTTGCATAAATTGCACTTGTCGAGAACCACCACTGCTCCAGGGCCCCCAACTCTCCTTTTTCAGCTTCACTTCAAGTCTAATATAAGCAGATGAACACATGAATAAAAAATAAAAAAGGAAAGCATTTCTACATCAAATCAGGACAATATCACTTGGCAGCAGACAACTTAGAAATATAAAAATAAAAAGCTTAGGCTGAGAATCTGTCTTCCCTGAGTGACTTACGTGACATAGAACACCTAATTAAGTATCTTTTTTATGCTTTTAAAAATGTTCTTCTTACTTGATATTTTAACTTTCCTGAAGAGGATGGAGAGTACAATGTGCAAAGGTCTGAGTAAGAGATGTGTCTGCCATCAAACATCACTGCCTCTGCAGCAGACTCTACAGGAGCAAACCAGAGTGCTCCATTCCTAAACATTCTTCTTGTATATACCATTAGATGTATATATACATTAGATATGTGTGTGTGTGTATATATATATACACACACATTAGCATGTATATGCCAATATATGCTTTAGGAGTGGGCCTTGTACATGTTCTGGGAGTAAACATTTTTGCATACATATACTTTAATCTTTCCAAGTCAAATTTTTTCCGTGTACACACACACATATATTCTTTCCCAGCATTCCCACACTAACCCTCTGCTCTGAACTGTAATCGGATATGAGCTAAGGAAATTATGGTCTGGTTTTGGACAAGACCCCCAGAGGTATAATACATTACCTCTTGCATGAACAAAAAATTTACTCCTAGTACTGGCTTTGGACTCCCAGTGTATAGGAGAATGTTCCACACTTCAGTTGTCCTCCTACAACTTTTCCAAACTAAAATAATGATCTATTACCTTTTATAATTCTTCCACTTTTTCGAAGGAAATAAAATAAACAAATCCAAGGCCTGCTGTTGCTAATCTGCTTAACAGGTATGAATATTAACAAAAGCACATTTGTTGGGATAGTTTCCAGCATGCCCTTACTGCTAAAATGCACAGCAAATATTCTGTAGCTTTTCAGGCTTGTTTCTAAAAAAAATGTTCCCAATGTCATTTGCTTAATGAGGCTCCTTTAGAATTATCCTCTCACCCTGCAGTCCTCTGTCCCCACAACAAACTTCAGAATTTCAGATTGCTACATTATGTCTCTAGAATTGTCTTTCAAACTCTTCATCATGATGTTTCCACTTCTAGGTCAAGGTTAAGGAGTTGGATGAGGATGCTCCCTTCACATGATAGGAAGCAGCAGCCAGCACAGAGATGGAGAACTTGCACCATGGCTGCACATTCATCATGTAGTGACTGGCCTGGCCCTTGCTGTGGGGCCACGGCTCTGCTGGCACAGAGCTGCAAACCCTTGAGCCTGATGCCATGTCAGTAGAATGAAGGCAACTCTTCTACGCACACAGACAGTGGAAAGCAGCAGACAGCCCAGGTACAATCCTAACCTTGTTACTCTGACAATCTAATCAGAAAGTCTGGTATCCTTGCACATACAGATTTTTTACAATGTGTTGCCTCTTATTATTTTAAAAAAAAACCATAGTATCAGGAGCTTAACAACTAGCACTCACTTATTTGCTTTGGGAGCAAGACCAAAGATTATTTATTATTAGAAGCCCATTGAAAAAAACATAACTTACGTATTGCTAAATTTCAGAGGTAGTTTTCTTTGTGTTTTCTCTTCGTATCGTTTTGATAAGAGGCTTAACAACTCAGTTTTGAAGACCGATTCGAGCAAGCTATCATATTCCTGGTCATGTAGAATGAAAATGTCATCCTGCATTGTGCTGAAAAGAAATCAGAGCATATACCATTCAGATTAAAATTTCATCAGCAAACACAGCCAGCATATAATGACATTCACAGAGTACTCCTCATGGTTAATTTTTAAAAACATAAGAAAGTCCAAGCAGCATTAAGTATATAGTCTTGCTTTCTGAGAACAGGTTTGGTGGTGGTTTTGTTTTGGTTCCCCCCCCCCCAGGAGTTGATAATGGCATATCTGAAACAATCCTTTCTGAGAGACAGGAATGCTACTTAGGCATTTTACATATTTACGGTTATCAAAAGAACATGTGCTATTAAAGTTACAATTAAAGTCCATCTCTTCAGTAATGGCAAAACTTGTGATTAGCGGTGAATTGGAAACTTGAATGTTATACTAAAGTAAGACTGAAACCCAAAGCAAGCAAATTTGGAATGAAAACTTTCAACTTTCCATTGGCTTTAGCAAAAACCCACACATGTTGCATTCCATTGCCACCTTTGGAGCAACTGCTATTTACACCTGCTGAAGATGGTGCAAACCACGTCACAGAAAATTATATACGTGTGAGTCAGTTGCAAGGGTCATTTCTGCCCTTCCAGAGTCCCCACAGTAAAAACAGTTCCATTGTGCCCTAGCCAGGATTGCTAGTGTTCCAGCATGCTTGTAATATGTTTATATGTGTATCGTTCTTCCTTTTAACAGCATGTTGGCATACTTCCTAGCTATAGCTACATTGGTGCCTGTCTGCTTCTGCATCTTCTCTACAAAGAGGTATAAACAAAGTTTTCCAAATAAAACTGTAAGACCTGAAAATAGAGGCCATTGGTACCCCCCCTTACTTCCTGACTTGACTAGCATATAAGCAACGATAGGATGCTCTGGTTCAATTTGCTGGTCCCACAGTAAACTAATTGTATTTTGAAGCTCGTTAGAAATCCCACTGCATGAGCTTACAGAACCAGGCTGCTGCACGGGAGCGCAATGCAAGTCAGACACAAGAAAATGGTGGGAGCATAACAACAGAGGGAGGGGACTGCCCCTTGGGCAGCCACTAACATTTGCATTGGATTAGAAGAAGTGACAACAAAACTCTAATTTCATATGTGATTTCATAACCAGTTTACATCAAGTGACCATTGTTGTGCTGGCAGAAGGGGCAGCCTTTCCTCTGCCCCTCACCATTTTATTCATGTGCCTTTGTGTTCCTTCCCTTATGCTATAATCCATCCATCTCCTGCCCTTTCCTGGTAGATTAATTTTCTGCTTCCCTCACTTTTCAACATCTCATCCATATCCCCATGCAGCCACCTGAGTGCTAGCTAGTTTAGGAAAATGTGTGGCTGAGAGAAGAGACAGCACAGGACTTTTGACAACTGTGCAGAGCTTGAGAATTGCTTGGCCTTATCGCAAAACAATTATCACATCACCAGCATGGCATTTCACAAAATGGAAGTACAACCAATGAAGGAAGGAGCATTAATTAGATATTGTTAAGTATTCCTGGCAGAAAATGTGTGGCTCCTTTTCATGGCTGTTTAGTCTGCTGCAGGGAGTCTGAAGCCAAAGCTTCTCTGCTCTTTTGTCAATGTTGTTGGTCAATCTTCTGCTGCTAGTACTAATATCAGAAAATACTATTTTATAATAGCAATTTATTTCAATACATTAGCTATCACCTACTAAGTGAAAAAGGCACTCTCAGTTTGCATTTCTCTCTGGAGAAATGGACCTTTTCAAATCCTGTTGGACTTAGAATTAACATTCATTACGAGTTTTCACCATTTTTTTTCCTAAAAAAACAGTACACTCAGAAAAACAGTACAGACTCTAAAAAACAGTTCACACTCAGAAGCGTGAATGTCTGTATTGCAGTGGTTAAGGCTGTGGAAAACCAAGCAGGTGGCTTTGGCAGCCATGTGATGAGCAAGTTTAAAGTTACACTCTTATCATTGAGAAACAGCTACTTTCAATGGTTTGCATAGCAATACATCACACAAAGAAAGTGCTGATATCTCACCTAAATCTATGTATGTATTGCTTCAACTTCTCAGAGTAACTCGAAAAATAAATTAATTATGGCATATAAGGAACTCAAAGAACATTCAGCTCAGAAAGAAAAAGCCTTCACCTTATATCAGAGACAAAATTAGGTCTATTTGCCCTCATCACTGTCTTCTGGTCCTAATTACCTAGCAATCAACAGCTGTCCACTTTGAGCATGCTCCTCCCTTTTTATCTCCCAGCTGGTTTGCCTGATTGCTGACTATAAATTTGAAAGGGAGGTACAAGCCTAGCTTTGTGGTCCTCACTTCTCATGTGGTTACTGAAGGCTATGATGACTTCTACAAATGGTGAGTACCTTTTCCTACAGAATTAACATTAGTTTCATAGCACTGCTAGAGGTGTTCTTGACTGTCAGGTATGAAAATACCTAATGTCTCAAGAAGGTTAGAATTGTAAAGGATGAGTTGTATCACTGCCTGTTTTTCTAAAAATCTACTTGCCACCTGTGTACTCCATAATGTTCTAATTCTGAAATCTTTCCTGTAGTTTAGAAAAGGGTGTATGAAACTACAAATTTACCTAATTAGTATTCAAAATGGCAATAAGAAATCTATAGAAGTAGATTACAGCATAATCTCCTTTCCTGTCATCAAGCAAATCTAGAGCTTCGGCAAAGTTCTGAATGAGACATGTAAGCAAAGCCCAAGACCTACCTACAGTAAATATTATCCAGTCACTGGTCCTATTTTTGCTGATTTGGCAAAGAGTCTGACTTCATGATACTGTCAGGATGTCCTGTGTCACCCCTTACCAGATGAATTATAAAGCTCAGTTATTATTTGTTACTAAAAATGCAATAATGTTTCCATGAGAGTTTGGGTTGTCATTTTCACTGCCCTGAACTAATTCCAAGTTGGGTATTTGCACATTAAGTTGTAACTCCTTTAGTAATTTAAATTGTTATTTAGTGTTAATTGCTGTTAATACATGTCAATAGCCCTGATTATTCTGCCTTTATTGTGTATAAGTATATTGATACAAACCTACATCAATATATTGCACGTGGGTTTCTTGAGAGATATTGTTTTGATAGCAATGCAAGAATCTGGTTACCCTCTCTCCCCCTTCCATTTAAAATATATTTCATTTTGTGTTGATTTAGTTAAAATTTAATTTTGCATGAAAAATAGTACAAAAAAGAATTGAAACTTTGAAGCTGCAATAAAGAATAGAGCTAAATCCATTCTGGATAAGCTCATGAGGAACATTATTACAATTATTTTCTTTCCGTTCAGAGGTTTAAGATTCAATTCAAAACCAGTCAGGTGCAGATAGTTGAAACTACAGGGACAATGAACTGGTGTTCTGAAAACACATGAGAGAATGCAAGTGAGAGCTAATACAATTTCTGCTTTGAGCCTGACATCTGTTTTGGGGTTTTTTCCTTCCCACAAAAATACATAGTAAGTAACACCTGTACTGTATAAAGGGTTCACGTTAGTCTTACTAACTGAAGACTATTAAATATTGCAAGCACTAAATCATGTCACTGAGACAAAATTATCTCAGATTTGAGAGAAACAGTAATCTTTACAGTGTTGTATTACTACTAAGCTCCCTCAATACAGATTTAAGAGATCCCTTGATTAAGACCCATTTTGAAGTCAGTCCCTACTAACATGATAACAGGGAAAAGCCCTCTTGCTCCCACAGTTTTTTTAGAGTTTGATTTTGGAGGAATACCTAGACAGTTTGATAGTTTGTAATTCTGAATCTACTTTTAGTGTATACAAAACCCAATGTTTTTTACAACAAAATAATGTTTTGAACTTAGCTTATTGATTTTATTAGACATAATGTAGCATACATATTTCTTAAGTACAGTTGGTTTTGCTTCAGAAGGTTCTATGGAACTGTTATTTACATGTGAGAGGAGTGTAACAGCTTTCACTAACTTGGCAGGCAGCCATCCTTTTAGCTGACTCAATGTGACTATGCCTTTGGAAGGCTACAGGCCCAATTCAAGCGTCTGGCTGCAATCTGTTCAAGGTTTGCAGAGCACACAGCCCAAACTTGGAGCACTAAAAAGACGGGTTCCAATCTCATCTTTAACCTAGATCTATTACAGTTAATTTGTTGCGACTTTCCTTATAAGTATGTATGATAAATAAACCACAGATATTGAAAATGGTACTGTGAGCAGACACATCTTGCAGACCTTTCCCTAATCTTGAAATGGCTGTGAAGAATTCTACAAAAATGTCAAATCTACTGGATAATGTCTGTTGGAAGATTTCTGGCTATGTTAATGGGAACGTTTTACAAGCATACACTAAGAAAAACCTTTGCAGTAGCTATCAATACACAGTATTCAAATGTAGACTTGTATTCTTTTAAATTGTAATTTATTTCAATATTTAAAATACACTTGTTGCTCTGGATTGGTAGTCTTTTACATTAAATTACACTCGGCTACCAGCTCTGATAAACCGCAATAACAAATGCGGAGTTATCCAGGGACTTTGTTCACTCAGCTTCAAAGGGATGAAATGATATAGGCAAGAATCCACTGGTCTCATGGGCAGTTTCCTCCTTTTTTTTCTCACCTAACTGGGTTTCTCAGCTCTATGTGGACACCTCAGATATTTCCTGCAATCTGGCCTTGGCTTGACATTCAGTCAACAGAAGTGATGTGAAATCCAACTAGAAAGAAAGGTTTTGGTACCTCAGCAGAGAGAGAACACCCCTTTAGGAAACAGTGGACATGTACAAGGTGTAGTTCTATAAGTAAGAATTATTTCTGGGATACAAACTTGAGCCAAAACTTAGCAGAACCTGCTTGTGCATGGTGAAGATGTGCTTCACAAATACATCTTGGGGGGCACATGCGATAGGTGAGACCCAGTGTAAGTGAAACATTTTTAACAGCTAGTCAGAAAATGTGTGTTGGCTATAAACTTAAACGACTATTGTTATAGCACACTTACTAGGCCTGGGAATGAAAATAAGGCTTCAGTTACAGGATTCTATTAATACAGCTTAAGAAATTCACCCTTCAGTCTACTTCTTTCCCCCCCATCCTACACAAATTTCTTGGTTAATGGAAAGATACTTTCAAGCTACTGACCTTAGAGAAACAGAAAGAATTCTTTCCACTTCCATCCTTCGCTTTAAGACTTCCTTCACTTGGCCTTTCTCTGGACCCTGCTTTATCTTTTCACGCCCAATCAGGTATATGCAGTTTGGAGTGAGGATGAGATCTCGCTTCACGTTCTGAAACACAAAATTGTTTGAAAATACATAGCTATACAGAGATCAATGTGCTCATGTTGTGATGCTGTTCCAAAGATATATAAGGTACTATGATTTTTGGGCAATATTGTTAGGTTTTGGTTCAAGTGAAAAAAATACTGAGGTGATTAATCACATGACTTCAGAGTCAGATTGCACAGGACAGGAAAGTGGCTTTGTTCCCCATTTCCTAACTAATGTAGCTTTCTGCCCAGCAAGTCCCATAAAGCCTTCATCCTGGGACAATAGATTTGACAACGATAATGTTCTGATCACAAGGGTGTAACTGCTTCCTTATGTGTCTTTTAGGTCAAAGACACTTTTTTCCAAGCTGATATCCTAGATGGTATGACACTAACATGGTGGAGTTTCTTTGAAAGGATGAAGTAACTCCCTAGCAGAAATAATCATTAATGGATGTTGCTCTTAAACCTACCTTAAACCGTCTATCATATTTAGTTACAGTGTCTGCAAAATCAATCTTCTCCCGTTTGCCCACAAACTGGCGTAGCTCTGGATGGTCCTCCATGCCTATGTAATCTCCCACAAAATTCCTGTTAATGCTGTTCCGCCTTCTCTCTTTCTTGTTCAGCAATAGATCTGATGCTTAAATACCAAAAATAAACATTGATTAATAGTATTGATGAAATTTTCTAAACTCATGATCTGTAAGAGCTAACTGTTTCAAGCAGAACCTTTTGGGAAGATGTGATAACCAAATTGTTTATAATATGGAAAAAAATAGTGAAGCACTGCCACTAATTCTTTATATAAGGATCTGTGTGATTATTAAATCCATTCCAATGAAATACATTAATGGCAAGCTCACTAGTTCTGATCAAATGGGAGCACTTCTGGAACTAAAGGATTTCTCACTCGTTGCTGGAAATAAAAGATTAACTCCTCCAAACCCAGAATGTTGTTCATGCACATAACCCAGGTCACACGTGCAACTAAGCATTAATTAGAGTCCTTGGATCGAATTGTATCATCTATAGACCATCCAGGTCCTGTATAACTGTGGGGTGCTTTTCCTTTTTCAGTCCCCCAGAACATTCCTGATTTCTGTCCTACTCAGTCTGGCTTTGTTTTGAGAGTGAAACACTGAGTAATCCAAGAAATCCATGCATGCAGAGCAGCCAGCCTCATCAGTAGTACCTTAGGGGTCCAACAATTTGCAGTCATTCCTAGACAGTCATCTGCAATGCAATGGTTTGCTCTATATATAGAGAGATATATTTTCTTCAGCTCTTGTGGGTCTCTTTCTGTTCCTGGAACCATCAGAAGTTATGACCTACCTTCTTCTCTCATCTGTACGTATTTTCTCCTGGCCACAAACTTCCTCCATGCCTTCTGGATGGCCCTGGCATACCCATCATACTTCCTCTCTCTCATCTCTTCTAACAAAAATAGCTGTACAAAGAGACAATAAGGTGAGTCAAACACTTTACATGAAAAATTCAAGAAAAAGCCGTATTTTACTTTCAACAACTTTGAAGTGCATTTCACTCTATATCCAAGCTGGTGCCTCTACCACAACTATGGGATCTGAAATCAGAAAGTTAGGTAACCTTTTCTGGAAGAAAATTCTGACACTTAATTGATTCTGGCTCTTGCCAGTCTACCCATTAATCTTGATACCCAATGATGAAGGAAGAGGAATATGCATTCTCCCTGAAATATTCTACTGGTGCAACTCAAGGTTCTCCACTGGGCATCCATCCGGCCTCCATCTTCACATTCTGCAATATTCACATTTCTCGTCAGACCGTTAACCATATCTATGGGAATCTGTGCAATATGTAACATAATGCACTGTATTCACATGCAACTTTCTTCCCCATCTGAATTTCATACTCTCGTGTCTACTGGCTCCATTCTTTCCCAGCAGTGAAGTTTGTTTGCTGGCTGCAGGATTTACAACTATGATCTTGTATTTCAGTATGACGTAGTAAGATTTTTGGGTCTAAAATGTTGTCAGAATTCAAGAGGGAAATGCTGATTTATCAAAATGGAAATGGAAGGTGTCCCCTTTTTTGAGAATTTCCCAGGTCCCACTAAAATATATGTAAACTTAATGCATTAGAACATCTTCATAATTACTGTAGGATACAGCATATTTCACTATAGCCTTTTACATACTTTAAGTTTAGTTAGATGTTTTCTTGTCTCATCAGAAGCACAAGCATTTGGCTAACAATTACAATACTACATCAGTGCACTGACATGGCTGTTGCTTATTATTTCTCTCTAATGTGTGTAAAATATTCATAAGGACTTTCTCTAGCTTTCCAAAGAGATAAAATTAGTAAAAAACAAGTATATCAAGAAGCAAACCGGGGCTTAAGGATTTTTTTAATTTGCTGCCCTAAACCATGCAAATCTAGAAAAATACTGTCGTTCATACTGATCTTAAAAAGGAAACCTGATCTAGTGCAAACCATTTCCACAGAACCTCACTTGCTCTTGTACAGTTATTTATTCAGGTGTTTGATGGAAATGTAAATAATGAAGCCTCCTTTCTGCCACGCATAAAACCTTATTTCACAGTTGGCAACTCTCCATCTACAGCAAACTTATTTAAAAAAAAAAAAAATCTCTTCACAAGCACACAAGCACTAGATAGGGTTTCAGCACACAGGCAAGAGTGCTCCTGATGCAAAAACTTCCTCATGATCAAGCCCTTGTGCAATTCAGGTTACAGTAACAATATTGATGTCGTGTCTTGTGAACACTCACCATTTATTTATCTAACAATAATGCTAATTGCAAAATAGTCTATCACCTGCAGCTGAAGGTCACAATTAAGGAAATTCAATGAAAACACTCTGTTAAAATATAGCTCATAAATTATAAAATAATAATACTGGATAAATATGTATTATAAAGCCTCCCCTCACACTCCTAAGCAAATCACGTATTTTTTATCTGATTATCCACAACAGCTGGTCTCTTTGATAAAAATAAAAAATTGCATTTAACACCTAAAAGATCTTTTTCCTCAAAATACTTTAGTAATACAAGATGAGAGATTGTCTTTGATACTAAAAGATATAAATCAAGCTTTTGATTATTCAGCTCATAGAAAATTTTTCAACTTAAAATTAAAAAGGCCTACACTATTTTTAGTACTTGTTTAAAATAGATTTCATGGCTTTTAAAAAAAAAAAAAAAAAAAAAAAAAAAAAAACAAAAACCCACCACCAAAAAAACCCCCCAAACTAAATTTTTAAGAAAATGTACACAGTAACTGAAAGCATTAATTTAAGTTAAAATCAAAATGCAACCCAAAAAAAGTTTCACTACTTACTTCCAGTCAACCTCATGTTGTCTTAACATACAGAACTGCCCTTAAGTAAAACTCACAGATATGCCATTAAATGGCATATACATGCAACCAGGACTTAGCAATATAACAATGCATTAGAATAGTTAGATGCATCCATTGGAAAACAATTTCTTCCTCTTGGAAACAACCTAGTAGCATATGATGCTGGGGTATAGAATATTAATGTTTTGGCCACTTGAGAGTGAACGGGAACTAGATCCATTGATCCACCGTGAGAACTTGCCACTTGGCTATTAAACAGAAGACAGACACCAGCAAATTAAAAAAAAAAAACCCAAACACCAAACAGCAATAAGACCCACCCTTATTTGTGAAGATACAGCTGCTGAAAATCCATGTTCTTATAAGGGGCAAACATACCAAGTTTAGGGTATTTCAGCTGCCAGGAAAGGAAGATAGTTCTTTATATGATTTATTACATAAAACAGAAAACAAAAATACTTTAAAACTTTGGATTGATTATCCATAAAGTAGCATAACGCTGAGAAAACAGCCATCACACAAAATTATTTTGGGTTTTTTCCCTTAATTGTTTTTCTCTCAAACTGAGATTGTATTTGGTTTGTAACTAGTTGCAATGAATGGCATGGATGCAAAATAATTTCACAGTGAAAACAAGAAAATCAGGTTTGCTACAGTGTAAGATAATGAACACAGGACTGGATGATGTTGATTAAATTACTAATTCTGGTCCCTTGTAATTACAAGCCACTAAGTTGTCTGCATTAATTCAAATAGATATTTGACCAGAATGCGTATTTGCCACCACCCTATAATAAACTTGAGGTCATCAGTAAAGGACTGAAAGTCACAACTGTAACATCACAAGAAAGGATATCAAAGACATCTGCTAATGTCCAAGGCTATTGCACCGACTATGTAAGACAAGACTTCCCAAAAATCTTAGGCAATAAATCATGGCCTGTGCTACAGAGGAAGGCAGGTAAAGCTCACCCTTCCTCATAACTGGCTAGCTAAGGTGTTGCTTGCAATGACTAAGTACAATTAATCCTATACCAGAATTTCCTGCTCTGCCAACATGCACCTAAGTATTCTAATAACCTACATTTTGAATGCTGCACACTTTATTATATAAACATGACTCTCAGATGGCAGGGAATGTCAAGTCCCATTATTCCTGAACAGAGTTGATAGTATCTTACCCTATTTATGGTAGAAACAACACAATTTCTGTTACAACTTGGAGAACTATTTTCTTTTTCCCTTTAACAGAGATCCTCCCATGTGATTGGGCACAGCAGTATCATTGCTTGAATTACTGTTGCTCTACAGAGCAAAAAATATGTTTCTGGAAAAGAAAGTGATAGCAGTAGAAGTGTACTGCTTTAATTCTGACATGTGACTTCCAGTAAAGCACCAAGAAACCACCTAATGCTCAACTGCAAGGTATGCTATACAAACTAAGGAATACATGATGGTGGGTAGAGCATAGGTTTTTTCCTCAACAGCTACCATGAATAGCAATGTAAGAAAACTTTTTTGCAAAAGATTTTGTGCAGTTTAGCAGCCACAGGATAAAAACAGCCTTATGATGCCTCCCTAATGTTCTCTTTTAATGGGATTTCAAGTTGCAGTCATACTGGAACATTGATTTAGTCAATGATGCATAACATATCCTTATTGTAACTCGGGGCTATCCTACACTCATCAGTAGTTCTTATACTGAGAAGAGGAACTATCTTCTTGGGCTAATGGTCATAGATACGTTTTCATGCTGTGATATTCCTTCATGTGACAGATTCTCTGATAGAATGTCACCATGTGCAACCTGACATCAAAGCATCTTCATATCCTATCTCCTTTATGCATTTAATGCTCCTTGTATTAGTGTCAAAATCACACAGGGTCCTTATGTACTGTGCCCATTATAAAAGTCCCTAGAATCCCTGTACAGCCAGCCTCAAGGCACCTGTGACAGACCTGTCCAGCTTGACTTGTATTCTTATGCTTCTCCCACCTTAGCTGATACCATGCCCAACTTCTGAGTGGGCAGGCCTTTTATTTCAGCAAAACAGTGTCATCTTTAAAGACTTGTGTTCTGCCACACTTACAGACTCTGGAGCTTTGATGAAGACTTTGGATTTCCCAAGCTGGTATTGGTCAGAATCCATGTTGACTGACTGAAGCAGGTGGAGAACTCCTTGCTTCTCTTCTCCCTTCCAGGAAGGCCAGGTTGCTTTGGTCAGAATGGCGTACCTTAACCACCAAGGAGAAGAGATTAAAACCCGACATCAAACACCAGCAGCAGAATACTTAGTATTACCCTGGGGGAAGGGCTGACAATTTTGGCAGGACTTAGAGAAGCTTGGAGTGTGGGAAGATACACGGTATTAAGATGTTACTTGTTTAGCAAGACCAAACAGCTGCAATGAGAGGGTAACAGTGTCCAGGAGTGTCTCATTTCCCCATGCTAAGTTACTATTTGTTAACTGCAAAGTTACATTCAAGAACAAGTAGTTCGTTACAGAAAGTTTTGCTGTGATCTCCTTAAGTCCAGGGCAAGGTTCTTTACTAGCAATGACTTGTGGTCAAGATTTAAGTACCTACACTCTTGGTATTTTACATTCATTCCCAAGCATGTGGCCAATTTCCCACTCAAGCTTTCTCTGTCTTTTTCTTACAAAGGCCTTTTGTGTTTCTAAGCAAGTGACCAGCTCATGTTCCTAACCCACCTGTTCAACAGCTGGTCTGCATTTAGCAAGAAGCCATTCTTGGCTTTATACCAGAAAGCATTGGTGCAAGAGGGACGATATAGTGATGTTGGTGCTAGCTGGAGGGAACACTGGGAACTGACCACACAAAGGGCTTGGGAAGGAGGCAGGGAAGTGCTATAATACCATGTCTTTGATAGAAAAGGGGAGTTGTCTTCTGTCTCAGGTATTCACTTTAACCCTTCAAAATGAGGTGGAAGCCAAGTTGCAGCCCCTCTTAAACTGTCTGCTTTTTCAGGCTTAATTTGGGCTTTTGGAACTGCCAGGCTGGTGTTACAAAGCTGCCTTGTTCCACTGCCCACCAAGGAACACTGTCCTTTTAGCTGTCTCAGCATGCCTATGGATAAGTAACTTCTCTATAGCTGCTATTGACACTCCTTTGACAATCACACTGGAGAAAAGCTAAATATGTTGTGACAAATTTCTCCCCCAAATCTTTTATGTTCTTTACTCTTGACAATTTTTGAATGCCTTAAGCATACTTAAGTTATATAAACTAAATCATGCTTATTAGTAAAACTAATCAACTACTGCAAAAGTGATGAAGTATGGAGTCCAGTTTGTTGCAATTCCCAAGTTCTTGTTTCTTAAAGACTTAGGCAGCCCCTAATAAAATGTTCTCAAAAATCACACAAGGAATTGTTAGAAAATTCATTAAGGGAATGTTCATTACTCATTCTTGTCATCTTTAAAATGTTATCCAGCCAGGAAGCAGAAACGGTGTCATGCAACTTAAATAACAATACCACACAAAGAAAAATAGCAAACAGTTAAACAATCACAAAACCCAAACACCTTTGAATGGCAAGTATATGAAAAGAGAAAGCTAACTGATGGATAATTCAGTAGGATTCAAAAGAGTCTGCTGATGTTATGTTCAAATCTGTTATTAGTTAACAAATGCTCAGGTACTACATCATGGTGTAACAAATTAGCTCTTGTACCATCCTAAATATAGAAGTATATACAATCTATGTTTACAGACAATGTGTACACTTAGATATTTATGTAATTTCTCCGTATTATGGGATCAATGATAAACCTAGTAAGAAGCCGTAAGTTAAATTAACTCCTAGCTTATTTAACAGCCTCTTTTGCAGGTTCGGTTCATCAGGTACCACCAACAGTATAATTGTATAGGTGGCTCTAAACAAGTCTGAGTTTAAAGAAGCTGATCTTAGTAAAGGCATTTGAAACTGCCACCTTCCACACAAGACTTTGACACTACATTTCAACATGTTACAAATTATTTCCTATATCTTCTGGGCTGTAAAGGAGGCACAGGGAAAACCAAGACTTAAGACATTTTAATTTAAGTAAAGCTCTTGGGTACAAAAGAAGAGATTCAAAATTCTCCTCTTTCATAAACTCTAATTTCATACATTTTGCTGGTGTGACAAGTCTACAGGGCAGAAGAAACAGATTATCCTATAACATGCACCAATTAAGCATTTCACAATATTATAATGTGACAATTCTATCACTGTTCACTGTCTAGAAATAGCACTTTTCTCTACTGTACTTGTGCATGCTTCCTATTAAACTGGTCGTGTCAATGTCTATGTATCTAGGTTTTTCAAGCTTGCATCACTTCATCTTTCAGAGGATTCCAGCACAGGTACTAAGTGTGTTCTTAAAAGGCTTCTGAAACTATTTCAAATCATGACTGCCCCCCCAAAAATTTATAAATTCACAGTAAGCAGTTAGGGTCTATATCTAAACATGGGAGCATGGAGTTCAGCTTTCAGATTGGTTATGCTTTGAAACACACAGGCCTTTTCAGTGACTGTGGCTTTTTGCATGCAAATGTAAATTTTGTACATAAAAGTCTATTCAGCCCAGAAATCGCCACTTACATGGAGCTGCCAAGGAACGCCCAATGAAAACAAGTGTACAAGCATGCATTTCCTGTCCATCCCATGCCTTAGCCCACTTTTACTCACACTGACTCAGGGTGTCAGAACAGAGCTTGTTCTGGATGCTAGGGAACTGTGAATGGAAAGGTTGCAGGAAGAGTTTTACTCATAACAAAATGTTAAATTTAACAAGACTAATTTGAAACAAATGGGTGAATTCCATAAAGAATTAGTTTCAGTTGCCTGTTGATCTCCACATATAAAGTGAAGTATAAAAATCTATTCACCTTCCAGAAGTACCATGTAGCTTTTCTTTGTGCAGATCTTGGGCAGATTTCTAGACCTGCACAGCCCTCACAATTGGTGTTCAACAACTGCGGACGCTAGGTTTAATACACATTTTTAATCTGTTATTCTGTCTCAGCAAATCTGTGTGAAGTCATGCAACCTGAAGCATATTTATGCTTATATGCCTGGGCTTGAAGATTGTGAAGAAAGAGGAATTTAAAATTGTTCCATAATTGAGTCCATGCTTTATATTTTAGGTGTATTACTAGATGATTAGAACATTATCTATTATCATGAAGTATTATCAGTGGCTTTGTTCTGTGCTGATTGATTATATTCCATTCCTTGCAACAACTGATTGGAGTTTTTGTTTTATATTCTCACGTGTAACACAAAGACTTCCAACAGAAGCTGACTTGTCATGTAATGCCTCAGTTGAGGCATTTATTAGCTGTATGTCTCAATTTTCTAAAAACCAGAAGCTGAATGTTGTGTAAATCTTGAAATTGCTCTGATTTAAGATGATTTCATTAGCTAGTGGAGGTAGTTAATCTTTTGAGTTGGTCCTAAGACACTGAAAAAAAGATTGGTCTTACAAACCTATGACTTGCTTTCATTCAGTGAGCAGCTGCAGTGGTTTGCATTGTAACCATTCCCAGCTGTTTGAACACCATCGGAAGGACATAAGGAGCAATTTATGCTACGGTTCCTCTTTACACCTGAATGGCAGGCATGTATTCCTTTACCTATCTTCTATCACTGGGAGAGCTACAGCAGTTAAACAAAGGCTAGCAGGTAGACAATCAGATTCCAGGCTCTGCAGCTCATAACTCTTTAAGTTCCTTAACTCTTTTTAACTGAGGTCCTACGCAAGGTTACAGAAAAACGAAAAGACTTTCAAAGACACAAAGCCAGTCTTTAAGGCACTTTCAAATCTCTGCGTCACTTAAGATTGTAAGATAAATGGGGTGGAAAAGGAGAGGGTAACTGGGAAATGAGCAGCTTTCAAAACTTGCAACTTCTTGTTTTCCTCATCCTCATGTAAACAACTGTGCTGTAATACCTCAAAATGAGTATTACCCTACCTCTGCAAAAACTTCTTGAAAACCCGCCTGTAGGCATAGCCAGCTCTTCTTACTCGAATATTTTCTTTCAGACCCAAGTATTCCACTTGATGTTTTACCCTATGGACAAAAAAACCATGCAAAATTTACAATGTATTTTATTTCAGCATAGTTGTGGATTAAGTATTCTTAAAAGTCGGTATTGCGTTTAAAGACTATTGACTTCTAAAATTCACGCACAGCTATATGAATCTATTCTTGCATATTACCATGCACACTGCCTAGTACGAAAAACAGTCAAGGCTGGTAGACTACATTACTCAAACATATGTAGCAAGTTTACCTTAGCATTTTTTCTGAGTTTAACTTCCAATCTCCTAACCGATTCATGTATAAATTTCTTAACTAACATTATTAACCATAAAAGGCCAAGTAACTATTACCTACCTATACAACTACATAGCTGGTATCCAAGGGAGTAGGAGATTGTTTCCTGTTCTTTTATTACAGGTGCCACCTATGTTCTACATAGCTCAAACATCAACAGTAGCACACAGTAGCTCTCTTTTGGTTGTTCTGGAGAAAGGACCAAATCTGATGGCTGGAGAAAGCCCCAGATACTACATTTCCAATAAAGAATCAGAAAGGAGAGAGCTAGGCCAATATATTCACGAAAAGCTAGCATTCCTCCTAATTTTACCATGCTGCAAAGGAAGGGTTTGAGGTTAGGCACAAGACTGGCCAAAGTATGCCTGGTAAGCTTGTTCATGGCATGCTTTAATTGCAAACAAAAACTGAGTTGGTATCAGTCCCACAGAAAGCATTAGTGGCCATGGAGGGACTCTGCTGCACATGTGAACCGAAACATCATTATCCCAACATCAGTTACAGTTTCCTCATGCAAAACATGTTCATTTAGGTTCTGTACAGGGAACAAATATGCCCCCATGAATCTCAAAGCAGAAAAACAGCCAAAGAGGAAAAAAGCTTCCTTTTGGCACCTTTTCCTCTTTCTGGAGCTGTGGTACATTATTTTATGTTCCTTCTTGCACATCCTGATAATCTACTATTTAATGCTTGGAGATTTAATTCAAAGAATTTCAGTTAACTTCCTTAGCAACTTGCAGTTTTCCTTTGCATTTCCTTAATTTCCTCATGTAAATCATGCAGCTGGAAGAGGTGATGTCCGTTTTTAACTCTGAAATGTGGTGTTCAGGGGCTTCTGTTGCTGTTCTTTCATGTATTGCCCATTGATTTTTTTTTTCTCCTTTTTTTGGTTGAGAGATTCTTTTGAAATCCCTTGCTACAAATGACAAAAGCCCTTCAGTAATTTCTTCTTTTTAACAACACTTGTGAGAGGTATTTTACTAAATAATGAGTGATACTGCTCTTTTAGCTTATAATAAAGAATATTGCACACTTTAATCTTGCTTTGTTCAAGGAATAAAGTATATCTTGTACCTGCTCCAAGAATTCTGGTACAGTAGAAATTTGGTGGACAAAAATATATTTTCCTGTTTATAGCTTTCCCTCCTGTTCACATCTGGAATAATGCACTAGAGCAACAGTATTACTCCCATTTTCTTACTGTCCTGCCAGTATTACTGTCCAGCAATATAGAATTTGAGACATTTTTCTGTTTTTCCTTTTCTTTCTCAGAAAAGGCACACTGAAAATTTCCCTCCAGACATCAACCTCAAGCAGGTCAGGGTCTGGGAATTCAGCTAATGCAGCAATTTTGAATACAAGTCCAAGTGGCTGTGCCAGGACCTGAACAAAACCACATTTCAAGAACACCCCAATTTCTGGAATAACTAAGATATTATACAAGGTTTAGATATTGCACAAGGTCTATATTTCAGTGCTAAATATTCTGGAATTATTCAACAGCAGTACAAAACTGGGGTGACACAGCTTCTGTGAGCATAAAGACAGGCTTTGTGAAGGTGTTTTCCTTGTTAGTAACACTTTAACTGTCTAGTAACATGCTACTAATAAGCAGATTAGATAATACTACTCACAGCACGTTGATTATGGCAGCATGCATATGATACAGTATTATGTGATCACAGAAGAAAACAAAAAAACCCCTAAACCAACATTCAGCAAAATATCACATAAACTCAGTTATGTTTTGTATTTCCATCAACACAGAACTTTCTCACAGTAAAATCATGAAACCACAAAATTAAACTGGAATTGTTACATGCATATAACTTTTTTTCCCCCCCAGATACATCACTAACTGCTACAGCGTATGTATCCAATGTGAGGACCTAGTATAATATATTGGAAATCATAGTTTGAAATGGGAGAGAATGTTAAGATTTTTAAACATGGATGAAGGATTACCATTATGAGACCTAATTATAAGACCTATATCTGAGTTTGATAGTATACACTCCTTTGTATTTAATTTGTTATCAGTAGCTGCTGCATTTGCCAAATATCATAATCATTATTGGAAAACCAGGAAGAAATCTTGCCCATTTTTGCTCCAAAAGTGGTTTCCTGAAAGCTGGCCTTTTCTCAGGACTAGGTTTTTGTTTGCTTGTATCACTGGTTTCCCAGCAACACCTTCCACAATAAGAAGCCTGTTTTCCAATATGTAAATGATTTTTAAAAGCTCCTCAACTTGTAGTTAAAAGTTCTAGATATACTTTTTCCAGGATCACTTACTTTTCTTGTTTGTTCCCCAGTGTCAGTGGTAAATTACGTGCTGTATAGTAGGATTTTCAGGAGTGGAAAAGCTAGAGAAAGAGGGTCTACATTTCCTGCCAAGACCTAAATGACACTTTGAAGTGCAGTCCCAATTGTGGCTTCTGTAAGTGCTCTACATCTGCACGTAATTGTGCTAGTCGGCATGCCAAATGGCAGGAAGTGAGTTCTGGTGTGTTGTTGATATGGTCAAGAATGCTTTTTATCAGACTTTGCAAATTGTTTCACTGTGATAAAAATAACCACTTGCTTTATCAGCACTTTTACCAATACCAAAAGTACTTGGTATATAATAATAGATGTTATCTATATAAGGATCTCACATAGTATACATACCGTACTGATCACCTACCTCGGTGCAAAAAAGAGTGTATTTTTTCAGATATGAAGATGCTATAAACCATCACATAAAGATGCCTTAAAACAGAGGTGATAAACCCTACTGATGATTTAGATGTCTATTTAATGTCTATATAACCACCCAATAGATATTCTAGTGGCTTATTTTTAAAGAGCTGGCTAATGACACTTATAAGTCAAGAAGTAAAAAAGGAACCTTCTACATTCTTGGCTGTAGAGAGGTTTTGGTAAGTTTGATACATAAAAGCAGATACAGACATCCTGCTGGCTTTTTAGCTATTTAATAGAAGCTGTTTTCAAAGCATAAAGCACAAGTTAGAATTGATGTATAATGCATTTGGTGTGCAAATTCAACATGGAAAACTGAGTCTTTAATAAATCTATTGCATTACTGTTATGCAAATGTTGAATATTCATAACTGATATGAGAAAAGCTAAGAACTGCATATACTAACTGCTGATTTAGACCAAGTGACCACAGCTCATCTTCAAAGTTTAGGAGAGGTCGTGTCAGATTTCATTTATGAAGGTTTAAGAGTATCTAGTTCTGTTTGTCAGTAGGCTGTATGATTACAAATTATGAATTTTTGTTGGGTTTTCTGACTATTAGCAGTGTTTCTACTCACATATGCTGCTAATCCATACCTGCTCTCCTCCCAGTCTCGAGACTTCTTTGTTTCATTTGGTTTGATGCAGCGGATGTAATGGGGTGTACACTTCATTAAGGTGCCAACAAGGTCATTTGCTTGTTTCTGTAAAATCGAGGGAAAACAATAGGATCTGAGCTGAACAGGGTAAATCCTGTGGGTGAATTCTAAAAATTATCAACCATCTGCTGGTGATTCAGTTGAGTGGATCCAATTGACTTTGGTCTTACTCCAGAACAACCAAAGTGTCTTGGGATAATATACACCTCATGAGAAATTTATCAGTAAATAGAAGGCATCATTATCTGCAGCTGTGTAATATATTAAAACCTTTTATATAAAAGTATGGAGTGACAACGAATGCATCAGGTGATTTCACACCTGTTAGGGTGAAATATGAGTAAAGAGGTTGATAAAATATCAATTTCCAAAGTCTGCAAGTGTGTAATCGAAGTGTGTATTTTACAACAAGTCTCCAAAAAGATGCTTGCCTTCTAACACTTGCTGCCTTAGTCAAGGCACATTGTGGTCAGTAGAGACTTCTGTTGACTTCAGTGGGCGTTAGACGAGGCCCTGCTGCATTTCTGCACTATAAAGAGACCAATTATCTGTAGTTAATTGTAGGACATCAAGTGGCTGAGTGAAGGGGCTCATTCATTATGCACATGCAAGTACTATTAGTACTACTATCAATTGCTCCTTTGGAAAATTCACTGTTGTAGAATGGCAGTTGAACAAAACGTTTAATGAACAGTGATGCTGGGCAAAATGTGACTAACAACTGAAACAATGCATCACTCTGCAATCAGGATGCTCCTGGACAGTAAAAAACAGCAGAGACTACTTTTTCTTTTAATTTAGGTATCCATACACAAACACACGCCCATATATGTGCATCCTAATGCAGCAAAACTAGACATACTTTGATTTTACTGCCTGCGGTGGTAGGACGGCCCTTCTTGTCCACTTGAAGATTTTCAGGAAACAGAGCCTTTATAAAAGGCCTAGGAAAGAATTAACAAAATAGTGTTGGCATAGAAAGACAATTCAATGCAGGAATGTCAAGGAATATGCTGTAAAAGTTGATAGCTGAGTAGAATATAAATAGCTATTTCTATTAATCTGGAGTTATATCAAATCTATTTTAAGAGTAGTATTTTCCATGAGCTTCATTCCTCACAGAGATCCCTCGCTATTCTAGTGAGCCTTGGAAGACATGATACTGGACTTCTAAACTCAAAGAAACACACGCTTTTTAAAGTAAGCATCAATTAATTAAAGTACATAACAAAAAGTTACTTTATGTTAAAACAGTGCCTCTTCTGAGAAAATGCCAAATCACTGACAGCCTTCTTTGAGGCCAAAACAAATGGCTGTCATTATGCCATTTGATTCTGACACTGCAGTACCTTCCTTATTCAGATTTGCAGAAAATGAAAGTCACTATAATGCAAGTGATACTGTTCTACTGCAGTGATGTTTTATTTCCACTTTTATGCAAATGAGTTCAAGTTGTGAAATAGAGAAGTCAGGCCTTCTGCATCCATCTGAACTAACATGTTATTCCTAGCTTTAAGCAAGTTTTGCTTACGTACAAATCACTGCTCTGCATGAGTTCAATCAAGTCCATGAAAAGAACATCTCGATTTCTCTCGCAGAATCCATCCATATCATAAGATACCTGGGCCAAGGTGGAAATTGATTGTTTGTGGTAAGTTGATAACCCAATAATTAAAGAAAATTTAAATTCTGTCCTCATCAGTAGCTGTTCTGAACTTCTTGGTTAGTCTGGTATAACTTACAGATACTACAATGATCACTAAATCCTTGAATATATTAACTCTTTCACAACAAACATGAAGGAATTTCATCCGTATACTTAAATTCAGTGAAAAAGACTGTTACGGGGCTAATGAATGTCATACAACACAAGTGAATTTAATACTGGATTTTATTGAAGAAAAATGTTTACATAAGGGTTTACTGTAACTATAACTGCAGGAAATCAGGAACAGTCTTAGAAATATACCCAAGAAAGATAGAACTGTACATTATACTCCCACTTTTATTGGTATATCATCACCTAAGGATCATTTTTATATCTGAATTCTTTAAAGTTACTGTTACTATAACCAACAATTAAGATTATAATTAATAAAATACTAGGGGCATTTATTTATCACACTTAATGTTGAGTTCTGGTTAGTACGTTTGATAGCAGCAAGGCCCAGACTCACCTCTCCTAAGCAATGGACACATGTTAGGGCATGTTTGTTCTAACCTCCCTATGTCGTGAAAAGAAGACACTGTCTCCTGAAATAATCTGGCTATTTAAAATCAAAACAGGCCTCTACAGGGTTTCCCCCTTCCTTTCATTACTGTTCTTTTTCTTTATAAATACATTATGCAGAAGCCAGTGATGATTTTCCACATTACCTTTCCAGCATAATGATGAATGATAAATCCCTGGTTCCAGCTGTTGAAATGTTCATGAGTCCCAATCTGCATCTGGAGCTTTTGAAGCAGTGTTTGGTCAGCTCCTTCTCCCACTGCATGCATTGTGGCACACACATCATCTAAAATGCTCATAATCCCTGGGGGATTCTAACACATTGGAGAAGAATGACAAAAATAGCACAAGAAGTTGGGGGGAGGTGATGCTAGTTTTTCCCCCCAAACAGAAAATTATCTTTCCTACAAAAACACTAGAGCAAAGTCACAGGAAGGATTAATCAGTAGAGTTCACAGTAGAGATAAACTATTTGCATGCTTGCGTATGAATTAAAGGAGAGATACCACTTTGTGTAATGATAGTGACAGTGGGAAACGATGGGGAAAAACAATGATTGCTGTTACAAAACAAAACCCTCAAAATGCCAAACGTTTGTTTTAGTTTTTAATTCCTTCACAAAATCAATCTTCTTTCTCATTCCACCAAAAAATAAACCGATGTCTGAGGTAAGTATTTAAACTCGCATGCTGTAGTTTGACAAACTTAAAGCTAAATATCTAAGCTTGGCACAGAAGTCCTATCATCTTCCTAGTTATTCTGATACAGACAGGAGATGGGCAAAATCTGATGTGCATTTAAGCACAAATCATTATAGTGCTTGAACTACTGTTGAAATTATCTGGCTTACATGAGGACAAAGAACTAGCTGGGAAAAAAAGCCTGCTTCTGTCCTAAAGGATAACTCAACATTTGTTGTCACCCCAAATCAGAACCTAAAGACCTTAAACTGCAGAACACTCTGTGGAGCAAAGACATAAAATTTCTTTTACCTACAACGCTTTCTAATACTTCCTCTTTACTTGTTTCTGCTTCATTTGCAACAGTACCTCAAAGGAAGGTGGTAGTGTAGCTTCCCCAAACTGAAATACATCTCCCAGGGACACAGAAAGCCTTATCTATCTCATGCACAGTAGACTATGTCATGAAGTTCATGATAAAACTTTGGATAAAATTTTAATTTCCATCATATTTTTTTAGTCACACATCAATCATGCTACCTTATAGTTCTCTTTCTGGTCGATACCTTAGACAACACATTTTAGATGACATATAGCTTAGAGCTCCTATAAGACATCTTATGTAAGATTTATATATAGGCTTAGTATGACTCAGTAACTGAACAACAGTATTTGCATTTTTCCTATGAACGTTCTTGACAGCAAAGCAGTTGCCCAAATATTTTAGAGAAAAATCTTGTTGTTTTTTCCATCTGTTTGTTCTAAATACTTACCACTTTGTTCTCTATAAGGTCACACACTATTTTGTTGTTAAAGTAATCTATTGGAGTCCATCTAATTCCTTCTTGCACGTATTCTTCCTGTTAAGTAAAAAGATGGAAATGTTCCTGTGCACTGTGGACGTAGCACTAGATTTACAAAGCAGTACATATACACAAACTGTGCTACTCATGTTCAGAAAGACTTGTCAAATGTATGGCTGGGGGAGGTGGGGGAAATGACCCATATGATAGTTAAATCCAGCTCTCTGCTGCCTAAGAGATGAATCTGAACCCTTTGCTGTTCTCCCACACATTCTTTGGCCATTCATAGCCTTTGAGTACTTAATATTTAATCAGTGCATTTATTGTCAAAGCATTTCACAAATAGTAACAAAGTGAGTGCTACAGTATCTTGACAGTGCACCTAAGCATCCATATCCTAATCTAGTTTAAAAATTAAGATTGTGACAGGCATATCAAGGATCAGACGCCCAAAACAACACATTTAGAAATGCGCATGCAATGGTGACACAGCTCTACTTTTTTATTTCTGTACGCAATTACCATAACCCTAAAGACACCTAGAGCTTGGGGAAAAAATTCATACTAAAATTTGATTAAATTGACCCCCTCAGTTGCATACAGACAAGTTCAGCTAGACCCTTAGCAGGTCATTTGTGTGCTCAACTGCAATGATCAGTTACTTCTATACAAAGGCAATTGTGTATGTGCGGTCTTGAAAACAGTGTCCTACAGCTGGTGCCAGGCCTGAGCTCATACCGTACACAATGCTACTGTCTCGGCTGCATTCTGTCTGCCCTCCCATGCAGAAGCTCACAGTTGTGTAAAGTGAGATTTTTGCAGTAAGACTGAGCAGAGAGCTGTAAATACTTTCAGAAGTATTTTTGTATTTGTCTCAACTTATTTAATTCATACATACATATATATATTTTAAAAAGGGGGGGTGGGAGTGGAGGGAATTAAGAAAAGTATTCCCATTTAACTGTGTCATGTCCAACAAAAGCACAGGGATGGCACCAAGCTGCAGTTTTCCATTTCTGTCTGTGAGTTAGAATATGCAGCAAGTCTGGGCGGAGTCATATGACTGCATGGACTCACTTCTGTACCACTGTATTAGAGAATAAATGTCTGTAGCTGATGTGGTTTACATTTTTAGCGTTAGCCAACAAAAAAGGTGGTTGTTTTTTATTCTTTGTCTTGCTTAACAAGGCAAATTTTATTGTTAGCAGATGATGAAACCTCAATTTTTCCATCAATTGAAAAAAGCAATAGCTCATTTATGATTTCAAAAATAGTAACTATTTGGTTACCTGTTCTGCCTTCAGTGTCAGTTCAATAAAAATCTGCTGTAGTTTTTCATTAACGAAGTTGATGCAGAACTGTTCAAACCCATTTTTCTATAGAAAAAGAATTTAAAAATTAGTCTTGTGCTTTATATATAATAATTCTTAGGTCTTATGCTGGCAATAAGCTGTCAATGATGGATGGGTTGCTGATTTTACAGACATTCTGTGTAATCTCAGATCTTTCTTTTAAGATCAATGACCTAGTTTCTTTGAAGTTTCTTCAATACTTAATGTTTATTAAGTGAGACATTACCAGTGAGAACTCAATGTCCAGGAAGCTTGGGTTGGGGGTGTGGGTTTTTTTGGGTTTTAGGGGTTTTTTTTGCTTTTAATCTGGCCACAGGATTTTTTTTTTCTGTTTTGGATTTTTTCCACCTCTAAATAACAAAACTGTCCCAGGTCAGATCAGCTCAAACACTGAGTATTGCATGGCCTTACCTGGAATATTTCAAAGCCATAAATATCAAGGACACCAATGTTATATTCTTCATGGTCCTTCTCCATAGCCTTATTAATAGACTAATAAAACAGAAACAAAATGTAAACCAAAGTGTAGTTTATATATTTAAAAGATATATCCATATCCTTCAATCTTTATATAATAATATTTCATTTCTTCAAAAAGCACATATTTGAGTAGAATACAAATATATGTAATAGGGTATTTTACTTTCACTTTTTAATAGTGTTATTAACAGCTAGTAAACGAACAGTATACTATCCTGTTTTCCACATTAGTGAGCCTTTCAATCTACTCTTTGTACAAATCTTTCCCCTTTGGTGTACTTGGCTCAACTAAAGAAAAGGAGCCAACAAAAAAAGAAGTTTTAAGTCTGATATTTGATGCAAGTTGCAGATGCTACCATGAATCTTTTCACCTATTTCTGTATTCCCCCACTTCACGGTGTCAGTGCTGGCACAGGAACACAGTGGGAATTAGAGCTGTTACAATGAGCAAGACTTCTGAGACACTAGCAGTGCCACTACAGAGGAGACTTCTGCTTCATCTAGCCAGCACCTGTGGTCAAAGGTAAGGTTTCTCCCCCATCAGTCCAGCCTGGGGTCTCATTCCAAACAGAGAGTACTTAAGCACAGAGAATGGAATTTGACCGTTTGCTCAAATGCCACATCATCGGGATGCTGAAGTGGTTCTTTGCAGGAGAGTGGGGTAAGAGAGCAGAGGACCATACCCCATTAATTCTGCTCATCTGAAAATGCTCAACTATGTAGGAGAAAGTAAGACTCAGAGAAGTATGGATGCTGACAGAAAGGAAATGTCAGAAAATCATATGGGACAGTTGTGGCAGGAGACTGAGCAAATATAGCACTGAAAGCACAGCTCATTTCCTTCAAAGAAAGTGCAACATTTGTCATGTAATCAGTGCCTTGTGTTTGGTATCTGTGGTCATGCTCCCACCACGCTGCTCAGAGCTGTTTCTCAGGTTTAGGCAAAGAAATGTACTGGGCAACAGTAATGACGGACAAGAAAAGTAGCACAAGGCACGTTTCTAGTGTACTTGTACTTGTTTTGATACTTCAGTAGAATCAAGCAAATCCAACTTACATCCACCAAGTAATCAAAAACACGGGAATGAAGGGCCTTGGCCAGTGCATCTCTGGTGTAGCAGGCTTGTTCCACATTTAGCGTTACGTTAATGGACTCAGATTTGCCTCCCCACTTGCTGTCCATCTGTCTGCTGGTCAGTTTTTCCTTTAGGCGGTCCTGGTTAATTCCCAGGAGAAAAGCAGGGAAAGCCAAGACTGCAAGAAAGATCGGGGTTGCTGGATTATGACTTACAGACTAAACCAATACAGAATGAAGGGGGAAAAAAATTAGCTGTATCTCTAATAGCAATCAGCAGTAATAAACCTCATGGGGTATGCAGCTGAAAAAGAAAAAGAAAGAGGAGGGATTTATGCTTTAAAATTTCCCTAAGCTCCCCAATGACACTTTCAACTCTTTACATACATGGATTTCAATTAAGATAAGCCACTTTGAAGTAAAATAGTCAGCTATTTCTGTACCTTCAAACATGTAAATTGGCTTAGGTCACAGTTTTGAACTATGGGGTTCAAACAAATCACTCTTGGAGGAGATAAAATAAAACATTGAGCTCACACATTAAACAAAATTAACACCATTGAAAATTCTTTGTAAAAACATGAAATGTTTAAAATATTATAAAGAACATGCTATCTGCTTCCTGATATTCTTTCCCTTTCTTCTACTAAGTTACGATATTGCAAAAAGCCTTCAATTGCCTTGCCATTTACTCAGGTTTGGTTTTTTAATCCCTTATTCTGGAAGTACTTTGCAAATTCTGGTTTCCCTTGTTTAAAAGTAAAGCAGAAAAATACATCTGTGCAATAATCAGCCACAAGTCTAGTATTCTTTGCATTCTTAGCACATGGTGCAGATGTTACCTGCAGGTGTCACACCTTAAGGAATGCAAGATGAAAAATGGCTTGAAAGCATATGGAAATAGCTTCCAAGGGCAGCTGCTGGAGTTGGTATTACACTTCCACTAAACACATAATCCTCTAAGCGTGTTTCCTCTGTTGCTTTCAGATCTACTTTACTGACATGAAGAAGGTGTAAAATAATCACTAATGCAGCAGCCACTTGTGCTTTACATATCTTTAATGTCACAGCATGATTTCGCTAAACCCTTCGGTATGTTAATTCAAAAATTATTTTTAAAACTGCAAATAACTACCAGCTCTCTGAAATCTGATTTATTACCATCAGCAAGCTGATGAAATTTACCCTAGGGTACCAGGAAGCACACAAGTAACTGAAGTTGGGTCACTGGCAACATTTCTGATAACTAACTCACTGAGAACTCAGGTTGAAGAGCACAAGAAAAGGACAAACATCACATGCTTTAAAATGGAAAAGAAGGTAGGTAATTAGACCAAATACACTCATGTATATTGCAAAGATGCCAACATAAGTATTTAGCCATTGATAATTTAAGAATTTATGAAGACAGTATAATGGTAAGAACCACCATGCATGCCTCAAACTCTTCCTTCACATTGCTAATGGTCTACTGTAAAGGAAAAATAGCTGGACATGGCTTTGCCTGACTTCCCTAATTGGGAACCAGAGAGATACCACCTAGAAATTACTATAAAGCAGGATATGCATGTAAATGAAAAAATTATCCTCAAAGAGTAATCAATAGCGTTCTGTGGAATAGTTTTAAATACAATCTGTGAAGAAAAGCTGGAAAAGACTAGGTTAACTTCACTGGTTTTCAGAAAGTGTGAAACAAATCTTTCAATTCAATGAAAACGTAAAGAAAGGCTGTTTGAAATTTTTTTCCGCATCCCAGAGAGAACAAGTAGTATTTGGCATGATTTGCAACATGGAAGATTTAGAATAAATAATGAGAACCTTTTTTTTTTTTCCCAACTATTAATATAATCAAGCATTATAACAGATAGTAGAGTGATAATCACTGGCAGTTTTAAAGAAGCATTTGTCTAAATGTCTGTGAAGAATGGTCTGTGTATGGATTTGATTCTGACTCAGAGTAAGAGACTAAAGTTCTGGGCGTCTTGAAGAATGGTCTTTGTATGTTTTTCTGCAATTGGCTATATAATAACAAGAACACTGTTGATTGAATTCTTAAACTTTTTATCATTTCAGGCTTGTACAAAGCATGACTTTAACAGCGGTCTTTCATTGTGTTTTATCTGTCGTGGCTATCCAGGTTATTAACGCTTTACTACTTAGTTGGCTAGGACAAACAGTAAACTGCGGGGAGGATTAATGGAAAGAGAAATGAACCCAACTTTCAACTTCATAATGCCAAAATTGTACTAAACATTGCTATTTCTTTTCTGGCTTCTTTAAATGCAGTATGTTTATGAGTAAGTTCTATATTAATTCTGTCTGCTATTTTTTCAATGTCTTATTTATACACAACTTCTATGTATGTATGTATGTCCCAGTGAGCAAGAGAAATATAGTGTACATGGCTCATAGAAACACATTCACATTTACCAACTTATTTCTAACATGCCTTTTCAGGTTGTTACTTTTTGATGCAACGTGCTGCATCGATCTCATCTGGCTATTAAATGTCTTGATTTCACTGAAAGATTTCATACTGTAATTTAAATGGAAGCATAATATCTCATTTGGAATTGGAAGGCATATGAAAAGATCCTATACTTTTCTTTGGATGCATAAAATGCCACAAAATGTTGTTCTGTGGTTCACTTACTATTCTCTCAAGTTAAGAAATTAAGGTTAAAAATAAGTATTTTTTATGTCCCAGTTTCTTAAAACAAATAGCAGTAGAGTACTAATACAGTTGAGCGGGAAGCTGACTGCACGAGATATTGTATTCATATTGAACTTAGCTAAAACTAAACTAACAAATGCAGTTTTCCTAAGATAAGGACCATTCAGAAATAAGAGTTAAGAGAACAGATAGATACATATAAGCTACTATATGTTGTGCTTATCCACTCTGCCTTAAACTATCACAGTAGTATAAAAACAACACTAGCTGCAAGGTATAAATCATGACAAAAATGTTTAAAACTCAAAATCTATTAATGTCTCAACATCTTGCTGATGTGGGCCTAGCTGATATAAAACAGCAGCAAGAGGTGAAGGATGCAAGGACAGTGCATTGTAGATAAGGAAATAGTTCCACAGGAGACGTGCCTAATAATGAGGTATGGGTTGAGAAATTTGAGACAGGGAACATAACTGTGGTATGTGAGCTGTGCATTTCAATTCAATTTGGAATGTCCAATTCAATGCGGAAGAGGTCTTCTGGATGCAGGTATATATATATATGTATGCCTGAGACTGGGCATACTTCACAAATTGGTAGCTGCTTTCACATGGCAATGAGGTCAGACAAATCATGTAAACAGGTGTTTTTATGATTGTGCGCTGATGCACTGAATGAAAGGAGCAGAGTTCAAGTTTGCTTGAAAGTGTTTCTTGCAATTTCTTGCTGGAAAGGGATTTCTTAAATTCAAACTGCAAAATTGCACTCCTATTAAGTCAGTGTCATTGTATGAGACAAAACAGGCACCTCATGAAAATTAGCAGCCTCACACTGTAAGAAATGATGCTCCATGCTTGGATAAGCAGCTCAAGATTGCAGTTCACCTCGTGCCATCTGGGTTTCAGTCGGTTGCTAATTCTGTTACAGTTTCCAGAGGTACTTACACTCCTCACTCTCCACTCCTGCATAGTTGCCAACTTCTTTGAAACTGATGTTTCCTAAATGCAGTATTCCTGCCACTATCTGCAGCACCAATGCTTGTTCCTCTGCAAAGATCCCAATCACACTCATTGCATGCTGGGAAGAAAAAAAAGATTAGATCAGTCAAAGAATCTGTTCAGTGACTCTTTGTCATAGAAGTCCTTTTAAAATGTTGATGTTTTCAAAACAGTTAAAGTATGTACGGCAACCAACTTTCATTACAGCCTGCAATGAAGTTTCAAAAGGTACCAGATGTCCTGCTTCAGCATTTTTGTATTTTTTTAATTAACTACAGAAGCATCTACACCATTTTGATGATGTGCTGGCAAAATAAATTCTGGAAAAATTGAAGTTACTAAAAACCTGCTCTGAAGTGTCACAATAAATAGTTTCATTGCAAAATGGGACACAATGAACTTCTGAGACAATGATGTTATTCCTTCTACACAGACAGTTTATCCACTGAGACTAAAAACTGTGATGCTGTACTGAATGGCTCTAAAAAACAGCACAGTCTGTCTGGCTTAGGCTGTGAATTTCAGCCACTTATTAGAAAATAATCTACAACATAATTGTGTTTTGAGTCTAGTGTATATGGTAACTTATAGAATGTCTTCTCAACTGACTTGTTTTCTAAAACACCAAATTAGCTAGTATACAACAGTAATGATTATTTTTTTTAGGTCTTTAGATGTGCTACCTATATAAATAAGATGATGTATTAATATGCTTATTTTAAATAGTAAATTTCTAATAGCAGGAAACCAGCAAGTTGACTTGACTTGCATCAAGGGCACACAATGAATTGGCAACAGCACTGGATAACAATCCCTGATCTGTGCTTTCTAAGTCAGTTGCACTGTTTTAAATACGCATGGAAGATCAGTCACTGCTAATAATTCAGCTAAAACAGGGCACACTCTTATATTTCCTTCTATTGGAAGTTCCTCACTGTGTGTGTATTTTCACATTTTTCATATTGCAGATTACCTGCACTCCATTAAATTTCATTAAATTTGCACCCTTCTGAAAAAGAACAAACAGAAAACAAAATGCCTTTCTATAAAAAGTTTCTCATCTCATCAGGATTCTTAGTAATCCCTGCAACATAGGACCTCTTCAGGGTAACATACCTCCTCCTCAGGGTAAAATACAATTAAAATAAGTTACATCTACATTAATTTCTCATTCCCACATTAATGCATCCTTGTCTTTGCTACAAATGGACAGTGAAATGAGCATACATTCACCAATATGCAAATCAGAGTAAAAAACTCACCAATGTTTCTTGGAAATCTGATTTGTCATTGATGTCATCAACTTTGTAGGACCCAGAGAGACTCAGATAGTAGTAGTAGTCCATACTGGTAATGCCAAGACTGCTTTTTTGTTCTGAGGAGGCCCCTTCAATTAGCTGTGGAATAAAAATCCCCAAATTAAGTCATACAATGATCTTCAGCAGAGGTGAGGCAGGTAGGAAACAGGTGCCTGGGCCTGAAATTACTGAGAAAAATATGGCTACTGCTGGGTCAGGTATGTATCCTTCCTACATTTTGTTAATTGTTTAACCCAAAAGACCAGATTCTCATTCCCATGAATGGTTTAGTTTTAACTTCCACATTGAATAAAAAGCAAAATTTGAGACTGACTTGAATGCCTTCCACTATCTTTACCTCACAAAGATAAGGCAAAGCAGGTTTTCTACTCTGCAATGTATTAGCTAAACCCTCAGGAGCAACGTGTTTTCCATACCTACTGGAAGGAAGGCAGAGTTGAAAGAACATACTACAAAAACATTACTTGTGACTCTCATTGTGAGGCCAAGTATCCTTTATGCCCATTACGGCATATGTTAAGCAAGTTTTGAACTGCTCCAATGCTACGCTGATTTGAAGCATGACTTAAGTCACACCTCTTTGTATCATTTAGGCTAAAACAGGGCCAAGAACAAAATAACAGAGTAGTTCAAAAAGGGTCCTGGACTCTGTGTGCTGCCAGAGGAGAGGCTCCTCAGACCTACATAAAGTCTATGCAGTTGTGCACAGACATGGCTGCACTAGAAAGGACCAAACAAACTAACCTCAGAAGAGAGCAGTCAAAACCCCGGTGTCAAAAAGCCTCTCCAAGCCACAGAGGAAAATCAGCAGGACAGCGCAAATTGTTTGTACATCTCTGAAGAGGAGAACGCACAACGCCTGGAGCAAATCCAGCTCCAACTCAGCTTTCCATCCTGGCAATGGCACTCCAACTCAATGCGAAGCTGCTTCCAGTCACTTACAATGCACTGTCTCTACTCTAGTTTTGTAAAGCTTGATCAACAGCACTTCAGCAGATAAGGAAGGACGAGTGAAGGCCTGAAAAGCCTCTTGAAACACAAAAAAAGCAGGGATGCTTGGCAGATTCAACGAAGAGATATTATCCTACATGTCCTAGAAAACTTAACTGAGAATTAAGTCTTTCTTTCACAGCTGTTTTATGAAAATCCAGAGCAGAAGGTGTAATTATAAGGCCAGATTAAAAAGAAATCTGTTGGAAAGTTCTCATTTTCTATTATATTCTATTGGACTTTTCCACGTGGGAGTTCACAGTGAATCTCCAAGCAAGGCCTTTGAAATACTGAAGTACTTTTTTGTTCTGGAGCTGAAAGGCAGCTAGGTAGGTCTATGTTAGTGTCTTAACATGCTATTAAGCTTCCCAGTGATATCCCGATTACATTCTTGAGTATGCATTCAGTAATCTCACTATGTTGAGAACGACTTTTCAATCAAAAGCAAAAAACTGGTACTAGTTATTTTAAATAACTTGGAAAGGGCCTATACACTTCTGACCTGGTAAAAAATGTGAAAACTCCGCTCTCCCGGATTCCTCATTACAACTCGAGATTTTTCCAGTAGGAAGTTGGAGATTTTCCCGCCATCTGGTTCTCCACCAGGGCTAAATTGGATTTCAAAGTATTTCCCCTGCAATAAAGAAAGTTGTTGAATGAATAGTAAATACAAATTTGAAATCATGCACTCGTACCGTATCTCAAGGAAGGTTACTACAATATTTAATTTCTATGGATGCAGTGACACAGCTGCCTCAAGGTATAACCTAAGCTTAGATTCTTGAACTATCATGTCTTCTTTCTTTCTCCGTTTACACAGCACTAGACTCAGGATAATACATCATGCAAACGTAGAGAGGAAGCGAGCAGCTTTTCACTGCTGAGACTCTTCTTCGTATAAAGGAAATCATAAAGCTCACCTATACGGGAAGTAAATTTAACAGATTTATGACCAATGGCAAACAGCACTCTGCTTGGAAGCAAGGTAAAGCAATTAAATCTGTTTCTTTCAGGGAGACATTAATAGCATTAACACTCATGTTGGCCAAGGAACAGATCTCAAATTTGTAAAGCCCATGTGTAACTTTTAAAAACAGAACCAAACGGATGTTATCTAGTGAACAGTCATTTCACAATATTATCTTCAGTATTTCATAAAGACAGACTGAAAATAATTCCTGCCTACTTTCTGTACATATTAGTAGAAGCATTTCCCAACAAAAAACTCTATGGATGGTTTCATCTGTTTTTTAAAAATAACATCAAATTTTATTTTTTAAACATGTATCACTGTGTATATTTTACTGATCTGGAAAACTGGCCAGTTGTTTGATGCTGATAAGTTATTTGCTCACAGACTGAACATTTTACAAATAAATTGTGACCAGTACCTATTGTAAGAGAAACAAATGTGCAACACGTACACAAAGAAAAGGAGGCCTCTCAACATACACTCTATGTTTTAACACACACACACACGTGCTCTCTCTCTTAATATTTTATTTAGATTTCTCTCATTTGCAGACAATTTATATTATACTCCTGAATACTGTCTCTCAAACAGCACAGAAGTTGGAAGAATAAAGTAATCTCTAAGGTAGAGGGACTTACAAATCTGCTGGAGTTGTTGTTCCGTACAGTTTTTGCGTTCCCAAAGGCCTCCAGTAAAGGGTTGGACTGTAGAATAATATCTTTAACATGCTAAAATTTTAGGAAACAAGAGAAATAATAGAGATTCAGAAACAGACATTTATAAAGTTCTTACAGATCTTCTAGAAAAACAAACATGAAATCTAAATTATATATTAAAAAAAGCAAGAATCTGTAAGAAATCCTTTTGATCAGGTAAGGAATAGAATCTAACCGTTTTTTTTTCAGAGCTTCTAGTTGCCATTTGTTGAAGAAAATCCTACAAAATTGAACAAAACACCTGAGGCTAAAACCTGGTCCTTCTATTCACTGTTCTGCCAAGCAACACAACCAATACATTGATCTGTTTTTTTCATCATCTTCATTTTAAATAATTTCCTTCTTGCACATGAGCATTTAAATCTTTTTAGGGTGTGGAACCACAACTAAAAAAGTCAGCATGAAATCCAGGAATCTGGAAGTGCTTCAGCAACCTGTTTTGGGATGAATGATACTGCTATCTAGCAATAAAGCATGTTACTATTGTCTCTTTATCTGATCCTAGGAGTTGGAAGTATGGACAAGATATTAGCTTTGGAACAAACCCAATGCATGCTGGGTTGTGAAGAAAAGATTGAATTTTATTTCAAAAGGAAGTTATCTATTTACTTATCAAGTATGATTATATTTATTCCAAAAATAACACAATGCATAATTTCTCTGGATCATTCTCTTGGTTACTGAATTATTCTCTGCAATGTTCCCAGTATCATTGTTGCACAAAACTAAGTGGAAAGAACATACTCAACATCAGAGACTGCAATAAAGCAAAAAATGACAGTAAGTACTCCAAAAGAGTGGACTGGTAAAAGCAGCTACTACCTACCTACTGCTGCCTGTCAGTCAATGAGTAACATTGTAACATCATGAAAGGAATTTTGACAGCTAATTCACTCATTTAGCCTTAGTAATAGGTTTTGATAGAGCAGACATTGATAGTATAGTTATTAACAAACAACTATTTGTTGTTTCAGCTAGCTTTCAAATACTTTAATTTTGACTAGATAACCTCATAAAATAAGACATTTCTGCTGGTGGCTCTCTGATGTATGCACACAAATCAGATTTAATTAAAGTAATAAAAACCTGGAAAGACAGCTCAGTTTTCAATAGAATGCCAACACAGGAGGAAAAAACCCCACACACCTACTAAAAGAAGATTGATTGTTGTTCTTAATCTGGTTAAGAACAATAATTAAAGTACCCTTAACTAAAAAAAAAAAAAAAATGCTTGTAGACACAATTCAGCATGAGAGCTACAAAACTTTTAGCAGGTGATTCTGGGTCTGTGGATTTCCCTCATATGACTCCCATCACACAGACACCAGCAATCTGCAAGCAAGCAGTTCACTGTCCACTTCAGTCGTCTCTGCTGTTGAGGGCTTGTATTTACTTCTAGCTGCTCACCCACAAGCTTCTTCCATAGAGTGCCTCTTGGCTGCCAAGACAGACCTTTGTCATTCTCCATCTGAAGTAAATTTTTGCAATAGGCTTATGCTTCAGCATTACTTGATACCAACTCACCTGTACTTTAGGGCCACCTCCTGAAATTTTGGAGATATAACTCATGATATACTTAGCAGCTACGGTCTTTCCAGCACCACTTTCACCACTATGAAAAAAGGAATACAAAAATGTACCTGTTAGTTTTTAAAATAACTCTAGAATGGAGTAATTTGAGGTTTATCTTGTTTAGCCAAGACTAACTACCTTAACAATGAATAATAATAAATATATGCCATATTTACATCGAGTAAGCTGGTAATAGATCGACTGTGATATACTATTGTAACACGGTACTTGCATACGTTTGTGAATAAATAATTTTGAATACATCATCCTGCATGGACACCAGAATCTCTATGGCACTTCAAGTCAGAAAACTACGTAAACTGAGAAATAAATATACTTAAACCAAGATGCTCAAAAGAGAGAACAAGTGTGTTAAGAACTCCATCTAAATTTAGTGGGATTTCAGATCTTAGCACAAAAACTCATTTGAAAATCCAGGCTTTGAATGCCACGTCAGATACCTACTTCAGTTCAGGAGTCTTTTGTTTTAGGTGTTCCTGAATGAAATAATGAGACATTATTAATCACATCCTGAATGACGGAAGAACTACCTTCCTGTTCCTATGCCTCTTGACACAGGGTACAAGAAGTCTTAATATTCCATGCTAGCTTTCACAATTCCTTCCTTCCATTATAATATTTCACTTCAACGGTGAATAATGTTTACAACATCAGTAGATTTGCCTTCTCGTGATTAGTAAGCTTCTCAAGAGGGAAAGAAGATTGGCATGCCAGACAATCCAACCTCCCACTTTTATTTCATACCTTAAAGTTAACTTCATTTCAATAGAATTTCTCTAGACTTATATAAATCTTTGCGCAAGTCAGGTTTGACCTTAATGAACGAAATTTACCCTGACCTGGAGAGCTATACTAATACAAAAAAACCAACACACGGATGTTGCTTCAATGTCATAAAGATATCTGAAACAATTTTTTTCTTATGTGAAAATCTGTGCTATCTTTAAGCTCCTGAATAATTTCAGTGAATGTTGTTGACTCTTCAGTCCTGCGCCTACTTGTTCCTGGATATGGATCAAATGCACATCTTTTCCTGCACGAATTTTAGCTATGTTTGCCAGAGAAACATCAGCATGTCCTGCACAGGAGAAAAGGACTTGTGGAGAATGTCAACTCATAGCTCCTTATCAGCACGAGTAATGGAGACATTTCCAAAGGTTTAATTCTGAAAAAGCTCCCCAAACTGCCAAGCTGCAAATACCATTTTACATCTTTAAAGCTTGAAACAGTACAGAAACACTGAAAGGCTTTTTTTTTGTTGTTTCTTTTCATGCTTTTGTCTTCCTCTGACTGCAGTTTTACAGATCAAACAGAAAACTTGAAAAGGTGAAAAAATACTTCTTGATCATCTCATCTGTGAAGCGTGGACCATGATTTTTATTATTCCGAGTCATCTTTTCCTAAACATCAAGAAGAAAGCCTGTATTATTGGCATCTACTACATTCATAGGGACAGACAGAGTTTGCTGGATGGCAAACTGTATTTAGAAGTTCAAATCAGCAAGAGTTCGATAATTAAAATAACATTTCTTCAAAATTTCCTCGCAGTGAATTTGCTTACCCCGTCATAAAACAAGACAGACAAACTAATCTAAACCGAATCATAATCTTGAGTTTACATATGCAGTTTCAACAGAATACAAAGGAGGATCCAGGGCCAAACACTGAATGAATTTGAGTAGGTATTATTTATCAGGCAGTAAAAATGTAACACATTTCAGTAAGATTTTCTTTGATGCATAAATTATCTTTCTTCTCTTTGTTCAAATTAAGTGTGGTTTATATTTCTCATTCCATAGTGTCTGCTACGGAAATTGACCTAGAGGAATATAGATCCATTTTAGTGTTAGTCCCTATTTCGATATAAGTGCTCCTTTATATTAATGTGGCCAAAAGACTGCCTTTCAGAGTTTGCTTCGGATTTATGCATGCATACAGGGTTTTTTCCAGTTTTATGCTTTATTGATCAGAGACCAGTAAATTGCTCCAATTAAACTAGAATAAAACAGGATGATGCATCATTTATGAACTGAAGTAACTTTATCTGATGGGATGGTATCTTGCCCCCAGTAAAGCTCTGGTAGTCAACTGTACCAGGGAAACTGCATTTCTGCCAAATGATTCCCATACAGAAGCATTTTCACATATATCTTACTGCTCTGATGCTATTAAAGCTATTTTTAAGAAGGTGTAAGAGTCATTTTCTAGCTTGGTAGTTTTAAGTACACTGGAAGTACAGAGGCTTTTAAAGATTGAAAAAATTACTATAATGGCTTAAAGTAAGTGGACTGTGTTACTGACGGTTTTCTCAGAGCCTTTTCTTACTAAAAATAAAAACATTACATAGTCTCAATCACTATACAAAAAAGATAATGCTTTGAAAGACATATTGTTTCTTCTAGGACTATTTGCTACTTCAGAAAAGTGACATTTTGTTCAGCAAAGCAATTAACAGAACACTCTGAAGAAACACATTTATTGCTACTTAATAGAAGAATAGTAATCATAACCTCCACTCTCTTAATTAAAGGACAACAATAGTCCAGAAGACAATCCTTCATAATTAAAATCTTGATTGGACAACTCCTTGTTGATAGTTTGGAAGGGCCACCATTTAAAGCAAGGAAGAAATGCAGTCTGCTGCAGTAGACATCTACAAGCTTGGTTCAATAAATGCTTAAATTAAATATCATGCCGCAGTAAAACATAAACTTAACGAGAAATTAAACTCCAGCATAACTGCATTACTTATGAATAAACTTCCTTTGTAATTCTGCCCAGTGCATACAAAACAAGGGAAGACGACTGCGAGTACTGCTCCCTCCGCCCACCTAAGCAGACACTCTTGCACCCGCATTCAGCAGGCCAGAATCCAGCCCATGAATAACCTCATGTTTACACTGTTAACAGCCATTCAAAATAGCTCACAGCTCCTCAGCTATAATTAGGCATGCATACACCTGATTTTCTTATTACATGCACATATATGCTGCAATTACTCCGCTAATGAAACAGGTTTCCCTGGCCCTGGAAAGGTTGTTTGCTAACAGTTTTTCTTTTTAAATCAGTATTATCAGATAAAAAGATTATTTTTGGTTGCTATCCATTCCACCTTTCAGAAAACTGTATTTTCTTTTGGATCTGCTTTCCCAAGTTCATGCACTGACTTCTTGAAGAGGAGGAACTTTTTCTATCGCTGTCTAAATGCATTATTTAGTATTCTGTAATTAAACGTCCTGGCAAAAGGGTGTGCGATTCTCACACACACGCGCAGGGTCCTGACTGCAGCAGGACACCACAGGAACCTTCCTTCACCTGCCTGGAAATCTATGTCTAGTCTCTAGGAACCCATGTCCCCTCCCAGGTCCAGAAGCAGGTGCCAGAGGTGTCCAAACCACACGCTCTAGGAAGACACGAGTGTGCACCAACCCCTTCCCCATCATCCTTGTGCCTCCATTCCCAAGACTCCATGTGCACCATATGCCAGATGTAACCTTTTTGATCTGACTGTGAATCAAGTCAGCCAACACTGCACTTCTTACCTTCTTTCTCTCTTCGCAAACCTTTCTTTAGGGGGGAAATCTGCCATCTTGAAGGAGGGGAAAGAAGGAAAAACCTGGATTTGTTTCTGTACTAGCTTGCTCTGTTCCACCAGGGATTTTCAATGAAGTCACTCCAAATTCAGACTAGTCATGAAGTAGAGAAGCAAATAGGCACCTCCTAATAACCATATTGTTATCATCACTCATTTTCCACAGGACAAATTTTTATGGCAAAAACTATGGTTCACTGAAACACAAAGGTTCATTTGAATCTGCTTAGGTTCAGAAGACTTCTGTGGAACTGCAGACAAACAGAACTGGAGAATCACCAGTTTAGGGGCAGAAATGGTAAAGTCCTTGGCAGCATTTAAGTGAAACTGATGGTGTGGCAGTTGACATGAAGCTAGCTAGAACGTTCATTTCACTCAAGAGCTGCAGCATCTTGGGAGCTTCTAGTCTAGCAGGAATTTCAGTGCCTTCTGGTCTATGAAATAAAATGTAAGCAAACAAATTCCAAACTTCAAGAAACTTCATTCTTAAGCCAGCTGTAGTCATTAGAAATAGTGATGACATTAAAACCAGAAAATACAGGATGTATCTAAACAGTTTAAATGAAACGTAGTTGAATGGATAAAAACATCAACCAAACAAAATCAATTTTGTGAATGGCTGGGTTACTCGATTTCATAAAAATAATTGCAAAGTGTCCCAAAAAAATCAAACACCATCACGAAAACTACCCTTAAGTCTAGTCCACAGTTTTTACAGTGTTTGTACTAAGAAAAATCATAGGACAAATAAATGTGTAGAAAGGAAGAGGAACTCTCTGAGATGTCCCTGGCAAACATGATTTTTCTTGTTTCAGTTTTGAAAATTTCAATTAACTCCAGAAGAATTTGACTTGGCTGTGCACACACCGAGAGAAAACTCACTCTGCACATACAAAATGCAGACACTCCAAAGAGCACGTCATCCATCATTCAAGCACAAGAATTCTCATGTGAATGTAAACCTGTAAGTCTGCACCTTGGCTATCTGAAAATGTGACCTTCTGCATTCGTTCCACTTTGGGGCATTAGCAATGGATCAAAAAATTTTTAATCACATTCACCACAGTTTAAAGGTTTTTCACAATAACTTTAGCTTCATATGAAACATCCCAGAGCCTGCGATGTTACTTTGTTTAAAAAGTGAAATAAATCCCAATTTTACCCATTCCTAACAGGTCTGAATTTGACTAAATGGGACTAGTAACTTCAGCATAGCAACAGGCATCAGTTTTCCAAAAGGGAAGACTGAGCTCAGGTAACAATTCAGATATATGAGAGACAGGAATACGAGCTCTGGTCATTTTGTTTCATGTGATGTCGTGCTGTAGCCAGGGGCCCGGGAATTGGGAGATCCTTAAAGGAGTACAGCTCAGTGTAGCAAACTGTTAACACCTGGTTGACCTTCCCACGTGTAAAATCAACAGTTTCCACATACCTACATCATTAAAAAAAGTCTGAGCACACACTCCCAATGTATGTATATAATTTATAAAAAGATAAATTACATACATATACTACTGAAGGTCTAATTTTTTCTTCCTGCATCCCAGTGGAATTCACTGCACAGCCCCTCTCATGCATGCACCCACTCTGGAGACCACTGCCACAGGTAAAGTGCAGTTCCAGGTGCACGACACTGCACCTCTGAAGTTGTCCATGAAGAAGGGAAGTCAGAAGAGGTATTGTGTACCAGCTCAAATATCGTGCAGTTCTTGCTCTCTGCGCACTTTCTTTTATCATTTTAGACTTAAGTAATGCCTGTCATTAAAAAAGTTCAGTAGTAATTCTACAGTGAATTCCCTCAGCCTAGTAATTAAAATAGAGTAATAGTGAAGACAAAATTAATTTTCCAGTATCTCTCTCCTCCTTTTCTCTCTGAATGCAAGCAAAATTCCAAAAGGAACAAAAGTACATTTATTTTTAACAGGGAAAAAAAAAGAAATAGTACTAAAACCAGAGTATAGTAAATGCAGTCAATGTGAGAATGCTAGATTTAACAGTATCTGTGACTGCTATAGTTGCTAATCCACCTCTTTCATGTAGTCATTCAAGCTATTGCCATGTTGGTATTGGGCATGAAGCTGCCTATGTGAGAAAGATTTCTTGTGGTTCAGCTGTCATCAGGATTTCACTGGAAAGCAAAAGGGAGGGTCAGAAAGTACTTAGCTATCCTAGAAAACCCCAAAATGTTCAGTGGTCACGGACATAGAAGATTTTTACTGATATAATAAAAAATAAATTTTTCTGCTTCTTGAAGCTAAAACACCAAAAGAAAATGATAAAATATTTTTTACAGATCTTTTTCTTACCTAATAATAACACACTGATTTTCTCTGTCAATAATCATGTTCCTGTACATGCTGTCGGCAAGAGCATAAATATGTGGTGGGTTTTCATATTGTGCCTAGGAGGGGAAATAGAGAATAATTTTTCAACACAGCATTAAAAAACACAGAGAGAGCAATATACGTTTTTATCTAAATTGGAAGAATTATTTTCCTGGAAAAACAATTATGAATCCCACTTTATGCTGAATTTTCCCCAGGAATTTTGTTGTTCATTTTCTAAAAACAAAGTGTCTGGGTTTTGTTACTGATCTCTCTCTCATCCATAATTTTCCCCTAAGCTATCATAAACACCGTGTTCTAAAAATGGTCTGTGCTTGAAATATATTACTTGTCCAAGAGAAACTCACATAATTTAAGCCTATTCCACCAGTGGTCACATGCTAACAATAAACTACCTAAACCGCTACCCAGAGCCTGGTGCTGGTATGTCTCATTTTCATCCACTGAGTCCATTCAAATTGAATGGTTTCCCAAATCTATGGACATGCCCAACTCGAGCAGAGTGGGAAACTGAATTTTTAGGTCCCTAATGTCCTTGTGCTGATTCACTCTTCAAGCTATAGTTTCAAAAGTGGCATCTAATTTTAGTATCTCAATTTTTTTATTGTTCTTGTCCAGTTTGAGAGTTCTCAAGTCATTGTCTCCAGACCCACTAATGGCCATTTTGTATTGTGCCTCACACTTTAAGCAAACAATAGCTTAAAAACTGCCTTTGCAAGAGGAGGGATGTGTCAAGGGGAGAAACCTGAAATGGATTAGAGTTAATCAATACAAGCATTTTCTTGGAATACTAATCCTATGTTCCAGGGAATTCAATTTGAAGACTCAATATATGGCAATGGATATCAGCCAAGTTCTCCCAGGCTAGTACAACGCTACCAAAACCCACAAACAAATGCTTCCGAGGGTTTAACCATGTACAATAATATTTTCATGCCTCTGAATCCTGCAGTACATTTTAGACTGCTTTACTTACTGCTCCTTGGTACATTTCAATTTCTTTTTCCCCAAAATATGGCATTTGCTTGAAAGGATTCACAGAGATTAATACAGAGCCAATATATGTCTGTATTCAAAAGAAGTTAAGGTAACTACAGTTTCACAAAGTATTATCTTACCACTAGTGACCGCCAAATAACTTTTCCATCTATTACATAATACAGCACAGCTTCAAATAATAGTAAAAAACCCACAGCTTACAACAGTTGTTAATAAAAATGAAAATAGCAGGGTTACACGAATATAAACATATCATTCAATAGGATATTTTCATACTATCAAAATATTTATTTTAGGACAAGCTAAGTATAGACACATGTATTAGAGGCCCAAACATGACACACCTTGAATAAAAATACAGAAAGGAAATGGCATATTTGAACTGTTTCACTTCTTTGTAACTGAGGAGGTCAGACTGCCAGCATTAGAAAAGATTGTTTTGACCTTTGCAGAATAAGCTATAGTGACACATTCTGATCTCACAGAGATAGTGCTGAGCATGCACAGTTGGATGGAAACAGCCACTACTGAGCTAAACTGGACAATTACTCACCGAGCTGCCTGTACTACTGGGGGAGCTAAGGGAATTAGGTAATTCAGTATGTGGTGGGGTTTATGAGTGTAACTGTTAACAGTCCCTAGGAGACTTATCCTGCAGGCTGCCCTATAAGACGACACTCAGTTTCAAGCTCTTACTAGTCCCAGAAAGCGTTTTTGAATGTTAGTATTTCACCATTCTGCATTCAGCTGCACGCGTACCTGCATTTACAAAATACTTTAGAAACCTTTGGAATTAGAATTACAGCGTACACATATGAAGCAACTGACACTACTTCACAGGCAGGACTGGCTCATTGAGCTGGGAGTTAGCAGCGTACCACGTCGATGAGTACAAAATGGTGTACTACAGGTTTCATTTAACAATGGGGAATGGTTCATAGGCAAACTTACTGTCTAAGCTTGCTGTACAAAAGTAGGAAAGTTAACATTTATCCTGCTGGCTTATCCTACATAAGGATCTATTATTGTGGTGCCACAGCACAAAATGGTAGCACATTAGAGAAGAAGTAGTATAACCCGGTGAACATAATTACTGCGTTGTTAATTTTGCAATGCTTTCTTCATACATTTTTTAATTTAATTCAAAGAAGAGTGAGATCATCTGGGTCTCGAATATAATAAATCAAGCATTCACTGTGTCAGTACAAACATCCAAAGTGACAGTTTTCTGTTGGTAAACAATACCAACATTTTCTGGGCCGATTCAGTAATCTCTATGCAATGTAGCACAGAGAAACACACAAACAATTGAAAGATTCAAGAGATGATCTCCATTGTAGAACGAAAAGCCTTCGCAGAACTGCAAAAGGAGTCTTT